AACCATCAGGGAAGCTTTACAGCATCCAGACAGCTGGGCCCAGGGAGTTGGCTCAGGAGGCCTGGTGGGATGGGTGCCCAGACATCTGTATTTTCAATGACTCTCCCAGGGAATCTTGTGTGCACCCTAAGAACCACTGGCCTTGCAAGAAAACTCGAACGTAGCAGCAACTGTCTGGTTGTTAGAAATGACCCTGCCGCCCAGGTGGTGTGGGATCCCAGGGCCCCCAAACTTGCGGCAGAGCGGAATGCCAGGTGGGGGGAGGGGCAGAGAGGCTCAGGAAGGCCATATGGCTCGGGTCATGGATGCTCGACCCTGGCTGCATGTCAGAATCCCCCAGCAGCCCCATGCAACACCCCAATGTCCAGGCAGACCCTCAAAGCATGGAGACTACGCCTTGCTGGTTTCCAGCCTCCCGGGTGACTCTCAGGGGCAGATGGGGTGAGAGCCATGGCAGTGGCTGCGTGAGAACCCAGGCTCTGGAGGTCACCTGTCTGGGCTCAAACCCTGTCTTCCCCACTTAATGGCTCTGGGACCCAGGCAAGTTCCTTTATTTCTCTGTGCCTCAGTTTCCTTGACAATAAAGTGATGGTAACCACAGTACTGACTGTTAGCCCACTGTCAAGGGCAAATGGGAGGAGGCGTGGCAGGTGTCTGGTGTGTGCTGGCATGTGGCCCACACTCACCGCCATCGGGCTGGGGGAGACGAGGCAGGATGCTGATTTGGTGGGGAACAGTGGCTCCCACTGACGGTCCCGTCGACCAGCTGGAGCCCCAGCTGCCCCAGCCTGACACTCCGCCCTTCAGGGCTGCAGACAAAGGTGCAGGAGACCACAGAGTTCGCCGAGTGCCTGCCCAGGCCCTGCAGCTGCTTATCCCTACTGGGAATGAAGCACGAGTCCGGCAGGCCTGGTGTAACCCAGAGCTGTCAGTCTGCACAGGAAAGACGCGCCCTCGCTCCCCGTCTGGGTCGGAGCCTCCGCCTGGGTCAGTCTCAGGCAGCTGAGACCAGCAGGATTTCCTCTGAGAGTTGCCTGAAACGCCTTCCCTACCCTCCCTCCCACGTCTGACCTCTGCGCCTGAGAGGGTCTCTGCCCCCTGGTAGAAGGCAGGATGAGGGGCTCGCTACACAGCAGTGGCTGGAGGAGAGCCCGGGGAGGCTGTCCAACAACAGGCAACATTTACTGAGCACGCAGTACGTGCCAGGCCCTGCCCCACGGAGAGTCTCACGGAAGCCAGGCGTAAACGTGAGAGGCACGATTATGACGCCCATTTCACAGAGGAGAAAAGAGACCCAGAGAGGTTCAGAGCAGAGAAGTATCAGTTCAGCATCCGATTGTCTGTCTCTGAGGCACGTGGCCTTCCCGCTGTACCGTGCTGCTTTGCCCAGGGACTGTGGTGTGCGGACGCTCTACTCCATTCTGTCCACCCCTAAGTCAGACCCTGCGGAGTGGGAGAGGGGAAGGGGCACTGCACTCTGAGGTGGGCATGGTAGGGCTCTGGGAAAACCTGCCTCCTTGTCACTCACCCCACACTCCACACCCCTACTGATCCAGTGATCTAGGTCTCTTTACTTGCTACCTCCCTAGAGAGAAACCGAGGTTAGAGATTTTGCCGGCAAACAGCAGATGCTTGTTGAATAGATTTTGAATGAATGAAGAATTCATAAGGTTGCCAGAAAAGCTTCCACTGGGATATAAATAACAGGCCCAGCCGAGCTGCCACCTTCAGCCTCCCCCAGACACCCATCCTAACCTTTCCAGGGTCAAGGCTGACCTCCATCAGAGAAACCGTAGTGCGTTGTGCAGGAGTGGGGCTTCCCCCACTAGAACACAGCCCTCATCCTGGTCCTCCTGCAGGTCTCCAGGGGGAGAACCAGCACCCAAGGGCCCTGGGACTCAGGTTCGTTGACGCAACCCCCAGTGCCCTTAAGAGCCACCAGCCTGAACTCATGGGATCCCAGGTCTCAGCCTCGCGTCACCAGGGGTCCGGGACTAAATACCAGTCCTGGAGGGAGGGTCCACCAATGGCATCTTTCTCCTGATGGCCCCGTTGATACTTGTCGAGGAGCTGAGCTAGATTTCAGAGGGGACATGTGTGCTCCTTCAGAGGAGACCAGAAAGCCCAGTCGGGGAGCCTGGCGGGCCATGGGAGGCAGAAGAATGCTCCCTCCGCTCTGCAAAGATGTCTGTATCCTAATCCCCAGAGCCTGTGACTATGTTCCCTCACGTGGACCAGGGGAATCAAGGTTGTAGGTGGAATTGAGGTTATGAATCAGCTGACCTGGAGATGGCCACTTAGCCTGGCTCATCCAGGTGGGCCCAGTGTAATCACGAGGGTCCTTATAAATGGAAGAGGCAGGCAGAGGAATCAGAGAAACAGCTGGAGAGCCCACATCACTGGCTCTGAAGATGGAGGAATATGATGTTACAGGCCAAGAAATGCGGGCGCTTCTAGAAGCTGGAAAGGCAAGAGAACAGATTCTCCCCTAATGCCTTTAGAAGAAACAGCTCTGCTGATACCTTGACGTTAGCCTAGTGAGACCCATTTCACACCTCAGATCTCCAGACTGTAAGATAATAAATCTGTGTTGTTTTAAGCCACTACATTTCTGGTGACTCTGCACAGCAGTAGTGCACAACAGATACAGCAGCTCTATCTTTCCCCGTGTGGACAGGTGAGTGCCGCGGGTGGTGGCCCAAATGAGAGCTTGTCTTGCTTCCTCTCTGCATGGGGGTCAGGTGCCTGGGGCTACTCAGTGGTACCACCCACACCAGCCTAAAGCATGGGAGGTGAACTGGAGAGGCAAGAAGTTTCCAGGGCTTCCGTTGGGTTCTGGGGTTCTGTTGGGAAGGCATGGGTGGGGACGGGTGAGAAAAGCCTGCTTGCAAACTCATCCTAGTTCTCCTGATTTTTCAGCACTGGACTTCTAGGAAGTCACATTCCCCACTGCAAACCCTTTCAAAAAATTGGATTTTCGAAAAAAAAAAAAAAAAGGATTTTCTCAGCATCGGTATTTGGACCAGCTTCCCTTGGAGGTGGGCTTATTCTGTTAACATCTGGCCACATAGGGGTACTGGGAGTCCAGTCCAGAGAAACTTTTTTTTTTAAACTTTTGGCAAAGTTTATTCATTATTTATTTATTTTTTCTATTAACATATAATGTATTTGTTTCTGGGGTACAAGTCTGTGAATCATCAGTCTTACACAATTCACAGCGCTCACCATAGCACATACCCTCCCCATTGTCCATCACCGAGCCACCCCATCCCTTCCCCACCCCTCCAGCAGCACTCAGTTTGTTTTGGTCCAGAGAATCTAAGTAAATCATGGTGAGGAAGGGGTTTGGGGGAGAAGCTGCAGCACCTTCTCTAACCACTGGGAAGTGACCCAGTCCTGGAGCTAGCCTGAGTGTGTTTCTGTTTTGCACCCTGGTAGGGGGTCAGACGGACACCGAGCAGGGGGCGTGATTTCCTGAGGCTCTGAAGCAAAGCCCACCTGGCCTTTTCTGGGGCACCCATGGCCTCACATGGGCAGGAAGGAGGATGCTGAGACACATACACAGCAGGCGCCCCATGCTCCATGCACCCTGGCTTCCCCCATTGCCACACTCACGATGCAACCTTCCGGCCACAGCTCAGACCCTCCCCCTGCCAAGCTCACTTGGCCCTGGAGGCCTGGCCCTTGACCCCCAGGCTTGCATGCATGTGGCTAAATCACTGTAACTGTCCACGGTAGACCTCACTCTTCCTGTGGTTAATGCGGAACCACCTCCCCATCTTACCAAAACATAGACCTGTCTCCCCCAATTCTTCATGGGCCAGGCAAGCCTATGCCTCAGCTACAAACAATCTCTCCATTCTATTACGTTCTAATCCCAAAGAAGGGCCAGAAGTAGACCCAAACCGTTCGTGTTGCTGTAGCTTTGTTAGCCAGTGATAGAAAACCAGCTAGATGCATACAGAACACATATGGATCTGGCAGACATCTGGAGGAACCCTCCCACCCCTCACCCCCTCCCCTGGCCCTCAGGGCAGGTCATTCCCAGAGCTGGCCCACTGTGAGCTATCTCAGTGGATCTGCCCATCTGGGCCCCCTCTCCTGAGGCACAGCAGGACATGGGATGGTTGACCAGAGGGCAACACAAAGCCTAGTACTGATTCTGCCCTCCTGCAGAGAGTGGTCTGGGGCCAGGGAAGCATCTTAAGCGTTATGAAGGACCTCTCTCCCCCTTGCACCCATAGCCTTCTTAAAATCCAAGAATTTCCCACATAGTTTCATCTCCAGGAAATTCCTGGAGGTTTTTGGACAAAGCCAGATTTCTGAATGTCAGATGATGGGGCATTTATAAGGCTAAGGGCCAACAGTCATTCCTTCAACACACATCTAGAAAGGACCAACTGTGCAAAAGCTCCTGCTGGGCACTGGGTGGGGTAGAGAGCTCAGCATCTGTTCAGAAGCTTGACAGATAGACTGGTGATCCAACCTTGATCTACAAGGACCCCACCTCCTTCCCTTTGTGGGAAGCTATGGGTAGACTCTCTTCTGGGTGGAGGGATCTGACTTTAAGGTGTTCCCCTGCAGAGTGAGAGACAATTGGACCCAAGCAGAATTGTGGGTCCTTCCTCCATTAGGACACACAGGACAAGAGGGCAAATCAGACACATGGATATTTCTAGACCCCAAAGTAGATTTGAACCCAAACAGAGGATTTGGGGATGGGGAGGAGAGGGCTTGCAGGAATCCCCATGGGTCATGTCGATCCTCATGAGAGGCCACAAGAAGTGAGGGCTTTCTTCTTGGGAGGCCAACAAGAATCAAGTCTGAGAACCAAATGGGTTGCCAGTGGTGAGGTGTGAACACTTCAAGGGGAAAGGCTTCTGAGAGAGACAGTCACCCTCAGGGTGCTATCTGGAACACTGGGGTCTCTTGATGCTTTTTGTTCAGGGCCGGCTGATGTCCTGCCCCAGGGGCAGAGGATAGGGGTGTGGGGGACCGGCTCAGGGCACCATATTCCACCACTTGAAGGAGAAGGGCTGCCGGCGCACGTTGGTGCCGCAGTGGACCTCCCCGTGCAGCATGTGGTACGGGGTGAAGTCGTCGATGAAGGTGCAGTGCAGGCCCAGCGGCTCGAGCAGGGTGCGCACCTTCTCCTCCAGGCAGCAGCGGCCGTTGATGATGGGTCCGAAGGGCTTGGGGATGCCCAGGTGCTTGCCCAGCACCAGCATGTTCACCTGCAAAAGAGCGGGGTCCCAGCTCAGGGGTAGCACTTCGTCATCAGCTCCGCCTCGACACCTGCACCACACCTGGCAGGACCTGGCGCCTGCCTTGCGGGCAGCCCTGAGAAGAGGTCCTTATACTTGCACGCAGTGGGAGACGCACCCGGGCTGCTGAGACTCTAGCCAGATATGCCATCCCACAGGAACAACCACGGAGCTCCCAGGGACAGCTCATTTCTCCGGGGACATCCTTCCTTACGGGCGGACTATGGTGGCTGCCATGTTTGTGGGGCAGAATCGCAACTTCCTAGGTTGTAGCTGATTGGACCAGGGCAGACATCTGACCCAGGCTGGACCAATCAGATTCTCTCTCTCTCTCTCTCTCTCTCTCTGTGGTATTTAAAGTTGACAAAGTGGGTCGGTCCAGTGGGTCGTTGCCCGTGTCTGTGTCTCTGTGTGGTGATGCTACACTAAACCTCCTGCCTCGGCTAAGGCTGGCTGGGGTGGCCCTGTTTCCTGCAAAGGCTGGAGGCATTTACGTAAATGCAGATCCGCCTTAAACATGCAGGAAGGAAGGGGAATGATAAAAGGGGGAAACCGAGTTTTGCAAATGGGGAAATGGAGGAGGGCGTAAGGTTAGCCAGAAAGAGGAAGGGAAATGGGGGATGAAGCAATGGTGGTGTGGACAGGCTCCCTGTAAGGCTCTGATGGTGGGCGAGTTGAGTTCCTCTGTGGGGTGGAGGTGAAGGGGGGCTGGAGGAGGGGAAAGGAGGGAAGGGGTGGAGAGTTGGGTCATCTATAGTAGTGCTACTCGAAGTGTGGCCCTCGGAGAGCAGCCTCAGCACCCCCTGCTGAATCAGAACCCATGGGGTGGAGCCCCAGCAGTCCAGGTGTTCTAGAGGCAAAGCCCTCCCGCCTCAACCAAAGGTCATTTCCCCCAAGAAGCCTTCTTGGATCTCCAGGCCTACCTCTCAGGCTGGAATTGCTTTGTCCCACCTCTCAACTGGCACATGACATTATACAAAAGATATCCTTGAGTGGGACACACCCTAAGGGAGGTGAGGAGAGTTTCCCAGCAGTAGATTAGACTGGAAACTCCCTGAAAGCAGGGAGCAACCTTAATCGTTTCTCTGACAGTGTATCCTAAATATATGAGGGTTGGGTGAACAGCTATGCACTGGGACAGAGGGGACACAGGGGGTGTCTGAGCTCCTAGCTGATACTCCTAGCTATGCACACGGAACCTCATGCGATCATTGATTCCCTCCACGAATATCAAGTGGGTCCCTGGGTGAAGGGAAGGGCCGTTGCCTGATGGTCCTTGAGCAAGGGGCTTGGCCAGTGAGCCTTCTGTAGTGACCAGGACAGTCAGCCAACTAGACACCCATCTGCTGGCCATCCTGGGACCCCTGATTCTCTCTGCCACCCCCACCAGCCACCACAATCCCACACATGGCAGTGACCAAACATCTTGCCCTTCTGGGGAGCAAAAGCTTGGAGCCTAACTTGATGAAACAGGTTTAACTCACGAATGGTGGCCTCACCAAGTCAGGGAAGAAGGCCACCGCCTTTCTCCTCTCAGTCTTGAAGAGCTGGGGGATGTCGATGATGTCCCGCTCTGTCAGGCCCAGCTCCCGCTTCAGTACCTCCCGGTTCCAGTCGATGCAGCTCTAGGGGGGTGGGTAGAGTTGGAGAGACCTTATCAGCGAGTTTTGCGGGGACCCAAGAGGTCCTGTCTGGTTAAGGAGACAGGCTGCGCATATACCCATGGGCTAAACTCTCCACACAAACCTTACCTCTGTGTCCCTTTGTCAAAATACACCTGTTCTGGGTCCCACTTCTCACAGTCCTATCCTACTAGCTGGGCTAGTTCCAGAGTGTTCCACAGCATTCTCTTTTTGTGAGTGTTCCAGAATGTTCCATCTTTAGCCCTCTTCCCTTCTTCAGATCCTTTAGTCTTATGGTTTAAGACATCATCTACACACAGACAATTCCCACATTTCTACTTCCTAACTGCATAGAGAGCCCACCCTCTTTCCTGATCTCAGATTTGCACATACAACCACCACTGCGCATCTTCAGTGGATGGCTAATTGGCACATTAGATAAAACATGTCCAAAGACGCTCTCTTCATTTCTACACATGTCACCCCTACCCCTGCCAGTGTCCTTCAGCTCCATAAAGGCAGCCAGCTGCTTGAGCCGAAAGCCTTGCTATCCCTCCAGTGCCTCCTTCCCCCTTACCTCACACTCATCTTCAGCAAGTGCCGTAGGCTCTACCTCTAAAATATACCCCCAGTCTGACCTCTTTCCACCACCTCCACTGCTCCCACCTGGTGGACAGCCATCCCCCACCTGGCCTGAACCAGTCACCCTGCTTCTTCTGCTTCCATACCCTGTGGCAGCCCTCATTATGTTCCTCGTGGATCTCCAGCTGGTGGGTGGGGTAGACTTGACCAAGAGCCTCGCTGCCTGGCTCCAGCTCTGAAATCCCACGGCCACACCTCCCACCAGCTGTTAATGGCCAATGCTGAGTGCAACAAGGGTAATAAGGCAGACCCATGGCCATCTTGGCTTGCGGACTGCCCCCCCCCCACCAGGGCCCCGCCTTGCTGAACCTGTCTGAGACTGCGTGGCCCTACAGGATGCTTCCCTCAGGCTTCCTACCCCCTCACCCACAGAAGTCTGGTCTCCCAGCTCCCTCCGGCTCCCTTCCTCTTCCTAACAGCTTCCCTGATGGGGCATGAGCACTGGACTGGGGGAGTCTGGAGCCCTGCCTTCTAGCCCCTTCTCTTCTGGGCTTCAGTTTCCCTGGAATGAAGTAAGGCATGAGTTCAGGTGCCTTTAACTTTCACTCATCTCAAACGTTTACACGCGCTGACTCCTTTAATCTTCTCCACTTTATATATGGAGACACTGAGGCAGAGGGAGGCCAAGCGTCTCCCTCAAGGTCACATACCTAGAGCGTGGTAGGGCGGGAATTTGAACCCGGCTTGCCAGGGCCCAGCACCCACAGGCTTAATCCCCTCACCTTAGCTGCAAGGTGTTGTCCCTCCTGATCAAGAACTTTCACTGGCTCCCCATGACAGCCTGAGTTTACCCTTGACCTCCTAAGGCTTCACTGTGAAAATGCCTTCCCCTCAGGACAGGTTTCTTTGTCCTTGGTTCCCAGGCACTGTCCCTAACAGGATTCCTGAATGATTAACTCTGTCTTGGCATTTCCTTCTTAGATGACAGCATGCTGGGTATTCTGTTTGCCCTTCTGGACCTTCGGTATGGTCTTCTCCTCTGCTCTGCGGCTTGGAAGCCTAGTGCTTGGAATTGGGGGCTCCTGTGCCCACTGGCTTCTGGCTAGATGCTGCCGATGGGGCACTGATGGGAGGCGGGGGGTGGGTAGCAGAATGCTGTTGGGGTATTTGTTCCTGAAGCTCCTTCACAGCCAAGTCACTGTGGGCTGGCCAGGAATGTCACAGCTCCTGTCTCTAAGCCCTCTTTTCATGGTGACCTCTCCAGGCTCCAGCAGCACGTTCACTCCCTAATGCCATCAGGTCTAGGGGTAGTGACAGCTCCCCTCTCTCTAACCTGGGAATATTACACAGTCTCCTGTTGATTTCCTCAGCTTCTGCCTGCACCTTTATAAATATTCCCTGATTATGGGACGCCTGGGTGGCTCAGTTGGTTGGACAACTGTCTTCGGCTCAGGTCATGATCCTGCAGTCCTGGGATCGAGTCCCAAATCCGCCTTGCTGATCAGCAGGGAGTCTGCTTCTCCCTCTAACCTTCCCCCTTCTCATGCTCACTCTCTCTCTCTCTCTCAAATAAATAAAATCTTTAACGGGTTGCCCGGGCGGCTCAGTGGATTAAGCCTCTGCCTTCGGCTTGGGTCATGATCTCGGGGTCCTGGGATCGAGCCCCACATCGGGCTCTCTGCTCGGCGGGGAGCCTGCTTCCCCCGCTCTCTCTCTCTCTGCCTACTTGTGATCTCTCTCTCTCTGTGTCAAATAAATACAATCTTTAAATATATATATATATATATATATATATTCCCTGATTAAACTATTCCAGTTTTCCAGCTTGAGGTCCCACGTGTTTCTTGCTGGGACCTAATGTCACTACCCCCACCCCCTGCTATGAAATATTGATATGTTCTCAACACAGCCACAGAGCGATCCTTTCAAAGCAAAGGTCCGATCAGGGCCCTCCTCTGCCCAAATGCCCTGGTGGCCTCAAATGTCAACGCCCTTGCAACACCCTCCATTGTTCGATGACCCAGCCTCCCCTCATCTCCCCAGAACCCCCTGGCTCATCCTCAAATATCCCATGCCCTTTCGTTCTACCTCAGGGCTATCGTCTGTGCCCTTCCCTCTGCCTGGGTGCGTGTCCTCCTCACATGCACACGGCTTACCCCCCATTTCTCCTGGATCGGAGGAGGGGTTGGAGCCCCTCTGTCTGGGCCAGTTCCAGCCTGGGCTTTCATGGACCCTGAGCCTCAGACTCTATCCCCTTTGCTGTCCCCAGCCATGCCCACCTTCTCCTCACAGCCCTGTACCTGCACGAACTTATTGAAGCTGATAAGGTTTGCATTGGAGAGGACCTGGTTGATGGAGATGGTGTTGACCGGCTTATCCCCTGAGAGGGAGAGAGAGATGTTAGAGGAGGAGCAGGAACGATGCCAGAGTTGAGGGCCACTGGCTCTGGGAGGCAGCCAGGCAGAGGTCAAGTTCACAGCTACTGGTCTTGCGAGTCAGTAGCTCTCTGGCCTTTCTGGACATGGGGTAGACATCACCCAGCAGAGCTCGGCCTGGCCACGGCGCAAGCCTGGGGGTGGGAGGGACGGACAGGTGGCTGAGTGCCACGGAACTTGGAGCTCTATTTGAGTACGCCGGAAGTGGGGATGCCTTTCACCGAAAACGCCCGTCCCTTCTAGGGCACTGGGTGCTTATCCCTCTTCTTTCCTGCTGGCCATGGTAGTGGGGCTGGGTCATCCACCTGTCCATCAGCCCTGATGGGCCCTGTCCCTGCCCTCCACGAGGGGAACTCATGGCCAAGAGTCTCCTTGAAGTCTCCCTGATGGGCTGGGCAGGGAAGGGGAGGTTAGGCTCACAATCCCAGCTGCCAGCGAGCTCTTAGCACGGGCAGGCCCTGGATTCAGTTCTCCACATTCAACACCTCATTTAGCTTCCCTGTAACCCCACAAGGTGTGCATTGTCACCTTCTTTACAGACGGGCACCTTCAGGTCAGGGAAGCAAAAAGACTCACCCAGGAGCTTACAGCTAGGAGACAGGGGGCTTGTGATTCAAACCCTAGCCCAGTGCTCACAAAAGGCAGCAAACCTTGACCAAGGGGAAAGACAGGGCCCCTGGACCCACGCGCCCGTCTGCAGGCTCAGCATCCCCTCCACCCCAGCTGGGGTCCACCAGCTGGGGTCCAGTCCCAGCTCCATTGCGTCCCTGCTGAGCCCTTTGGGCCAGTGACTCCCTTGACTTCCCCGTGCTCTTGGGTCTATAGGAAGAGGGGATAGTAAGTGGGGGTCTGGCACACAGTGTGGCCAGTGAGATATGCTGGTCTCCTGGGGCACAGTGGCTTCATGTGGCCTGATGGCCATGAATTCCCACATTCTCCTTCCCAGCTGGACGGCTGGGAAACCCACTCAGCCTGTTCCTGGGTCTTGTTCACCGAGGATGTGGTCCTTCCAGGAAAGGTGATGATGGCTTTCCCTCCACCTGATCCGTAACATCTGGATTTGAGGCTTTTTCAGGTTTGCTCTGGACCCAAAGGTATTTAGCCACGATCCTTATGGGAACAAAGGGGCTGGGGACTGTGTTTCTTCCACTTTACACCTGGGGTTCCAGGGTGGCCTTGGGAATGGGGTGAGGATCGTAAGCGGGGAGAAAGGAACTGCAAAGTTCTACTGAGAGCTTCTGAATTCTACACAAGCTTTTCCCTTGGAGGTTTGGTCCAGGACATTCTTTATCTCCCATGAGGCCAAGAAAAGCTATAGTCCCCCCAGCCAAAGATTTTTGCCCTGAGACTGCCAGGGCCCCTGTCGGAGAGGACCAGTCCTCTCTGATTCACACACTTTTGGTGGGGATGGGAATGAGCATCCCAGCAAGCAGGCGCACCGCCGCCAGCCCCAGTCAGCAATGGCTCTCAGAATTCTTTCCAAGCATAATGAGAATGTGGGACCCATTGTTCAAAGAACAGGAAAAAAAAGTTTCAATAAACATACAAAAATAAAAGGACTTTTCTTTCCTCCAGGGTCTCTCTCCCGCCCTGTCATGTTGGTTTTTTACTTGCTCTTTGACGTCATGCTCCCTTGGTCACAGGACATCCACCTGGTAAGCACAGACCCCCGCAGGGCTGGGAGCCCCAGCTGAAACTTGGCGAGTGTGCACAGCCCACCGGCTGCCCGGCATCCCAGCCCATGAGCCACAGGACCCACATCAGGCCAGATGTCTCCCCTTCCCCCAGGCCTGCCATCCCGAGCCACGGTAAACAGGCAGAATCCGCACAGGGGTGTGCTAGCTCCCTTGCTCGGGGGTAGACAAGAGGCTCACCCCTTGCGAGGTGCCCACCCCATGACCTGGGGCACTGCCAGTCCACGACAGGGACAGTTAATGCCATGACCCACCCCCCACCCCTGGGGATGCCGAGGGGCCCATGTACCCAGGCCTCCCCAAGCCCAGGCTCCTGCTACAACAACCGCCACAGGGGGGAAGGGTTTGAGAAGGGGAGGCAGAGAGGGGAGGCCCCACCAGCTCCCACTGCCCATGGCTAAGACTTCAGGGATTCGGGGGTTACAGAAGGGATCTCACCCCTGGGAGGCAGCAAGAGGTTTCACTCGCGAAGCCCAGATGGTTAAGAACTTCAAGACAGTGACGGCAGAGCCTCAAACCTTCTAAGGTGAGGGCGTTGTCTGATGACACTGGTCACAGGCCCACGTGGCTCACCATGTCCCTGCCCCTAGCCGCAGGCAGCGGGGGCCGGTGGGGACAAGGCATGCAGCAACAGTGAGGCTCTTTGGGGGTACCACCCTGCTGGATAGACTTGGCCATCTGTCTCTCAAGCCATGAGGTGTCCTGCTTTAGATAGGGGAGGGGGCGGGAAGCCTGGGATGAGGGGCACAGCATGGGTACCCACCAACAACCCCTTGGAACAGGAGGGCCCCGCCATGGCCCCACTTCTGCTTTTCCTGGAAGAGCTTGAAGCAGGCGCTAGGGCTGGCCAGGAGCATCCGGAAACCCTGTGTGGAGAGGGCAGAACCGCCTGAGTTCCCCGGACTCAGCCCGGCCCCCTGGAGCTCATCCTCTGACCCAGACACCAGGGAAAGGCAGGTCACCACTGTCCTTACCTTCTCATCGGGGGCAGGGACGAAGCTCAGAAACTCATCCACGTGGCCCACAGCCAACCAGTCCACAAAGAGCTCCACGGGGGGTTGCACCCGCTGTGCATAGAGGAAGTCCCGCACCACCTGGGTGACCCGACGGCCGCTGGACCTGGGGCCCGAGGGGTCAAAAACATTGCTTAGCTTAAAAATGTCTGTGCAGGGGCGCCTGGGTGGCTCAGTGGGTTAAGCCGCTGCCTTCCGCTCGGGTCATGATCTCAGGATCCTGGGATCGAGCCCCGCATCGGGCTCTCTGCTCGGCGGGGAGCCTGCTTCCTCCTCTCTCTCTGCCTGCCTCTCTGCCTGCTTGTGACCTCTCTCTGTCAGATAAATAAATAAAATCTTTAAAAAAAAAATGTCTGTGCAGAAATGGAATGACAAAGTTTGAGTTTCTGCAATATCCAATGTTTTTAAACAAAAAACATGCACTGCGTCCTTTAAATTCTGCTCAGGCTGAGCTCTTGAACAGTTGGAGGCAGGCCAGCTCGACCCCACCCAGTCGGTGACCCCCAGGTCTTGCCATCCCAGCAAACGCTCAGAGCCGCCCTCCGACCCATCTTCACTGGCTCCTGGAGACATTCACCATCCTATTCCGTCCCCTGGGGCCAGGCGGCTCTTCTGGGAGTTTAACTTGTGTCTCTCTTGCTGTGGCCTCACCTTCTGTTCGTCAGTGGGGAGAGAGATGGACAAGATCACCCCAAGGAACACAGAGCCCCAGCATTTCATGCTCGTGAACTTAACCCCCATTCTTCTTTGGACTTCCACATAAGTATCTAATGGCACGGCCCAAATTTCCTCTTTCTTTTTTGTCTTTTTTTAAATAGGATCCACATCCGGTTGAAGCCCAAGGTAGGGCTTGAACTCAGGACCCTGAGATTAAGACCTGAGCTGAGATCAGGAGTTGAAGGCTTAACTGACTGAGCCACCCAGACACCTTGAACTTCCTCTTTCTGTGGGATCACATGTTGAGGGCAGTGAGTCCCCTCCAAAGCCTTTTGATTCACCTGTTATTTGACTGCAAGTTTGTCCTAACTGCTTTGTTGAATTTGGATGGCTCAATGCCCTGGTCTATTCCACAACAAAAAACCATCACCATATAATTCCTTTTCTTTTGCATCAGTATCTCCGTGTCACATGTTGAACAACAAATAGTCTATTATTCTGTGTGTGTGTGTGTGTGTGTGTGTGTGTGTGTGTGTGTGTGTTATGACATCTCATTTTTCATGTCCTATACCTTCCTTCTCCTGTTCTCAGGAAAATATCTGATGGTAGTCATTTACATTATAGTATGAACAAGCTCTTGAAATATAATTGCTCTAGGACTGTTGAGACTTGAAGCTTTTTCTTCTAGAACTATTAATTAATAGATTGTTATTATATCATTTCTTTGGGAAAAAGAAGACCTAAGTTTAGTCACAACTTTGGATTCTGTGTGACCTGTACCAGGTCACTTTACTCTTTCTGAGCTCACTTAATGAAATGAAAAGGCTGGACTGAATGATATCTTAGGTCTCTGCTCACCGTGGACTTCTCAAAATTCACCAAGGTCAATGGACAGTGTCCGGTCATCAGCCCACTGCCTCCCCTACCTCAACTAGAACTAGGAATTTATCACTCCTCGTGGGTTCTCTCCCAGGAGTGGAATGATCCCTCACCCCCACCACCCCTGCCACCATCACCACCCTCCACCAAAGGAACACCTCTCCCTGCCCCTCTCTCACCCAGGCAGGTTGCCCCCGATGAGGATCCTCCCCAAGGGGTACTGTTTCCCATTGGCCACCACTGGGGGGCTGACCTCCAGGTTCCCGAAGGAGTCCAGGCCACTCACAGAGCTGTCTAGTGGTTCCCGAGTCACATAGCCGAAATCTGGACCCTGGCAGGGGAAACTGAGTCAGGCTAGGGGTGGGGGTCACCAGAAAGAGCTTGAGCCAACTTGCTGGGCTCTGAGCTCCTTCAGGATGGGGCAGGGTTGTCTGTCCATTCTTTGGATGGAAATACTGAGTCAAAGACAGGGATCTGACCTATTCAATATTTCACACATGCATAGGGGCTAAAGTTGTGAAACACACAGGCACTCTGGGCCTGCTGCCACATTAGAGCACGTTATTTCCGTGGTCACAGGGAGACAGTGGACAGGGCTGCAGTTGCCTAAACTCCCCATTAGACATGGAGCCTGAGGCTATGGTCCCTGCCCCTTTCCCTCTGAGCAGACTTCCTGCCAAGTACAGCCCAAGGGCAAGTACCTGGCTGTTCTAGAGCAGCTTGTTCCTGGGGGCCAAGTGGCTGGTGATGGAGCTTCAGTCTTTCAGTCTTTCAAGTCAGAAAAACGGGAGAGCTCCCCAGGGCCATCTCTTAGAAGCAACTCAAACAACATTGAGGCCCAGGCGAGAGCTCCTACCACCACCTCTGTGATCCAGCAGGGGTTGGAAGGGCCTCATAGTCTCTCCAGCATCAAGGGAGTCTCCCCTCTCTCTTCTAGGAGGTCCTGGTCCCCAAGGACCATCTTCACAGTAGTTCTTATTATCAATATTAATCTCAGCTAACAGCGCTATGTGCTCCCTCTTCCCAGGACAGAGAAGCCTCAGAAACACCTGTGAGGCCAGGGCTATCACATCATTTTTGCTGATGAAGAAACCGCAGCTCAGAGAGGGGAAGTGACTCATACCAGGCCACACAGCATCTGAGTAACAGAGCCCGGTTCTTCTGCCTCCAAAGCCTGTGTTCTTAACAGCGGCACAGCCTCACCCCGCCCTTACCTAGGACTGCCAAATTCAGTAAATAAAAAGTATAGGACGCCCAGTTACATTTGAATTTCGGATAAAGCATGAGTATATTTTTAGTATAACTATGTCCCGTGCATGGTTGGGAACATACTTATACCAAAAGTTCCTCATCGCTGACCTGAAATTTGAACGTAACTAGGCATCTGCCGTATTTTATCTGGTCGCTCCTGTCCCTAAAGAACGTGGTCCCCAGTACCATGCCCTACACTCTACACCCCGGTGGGGCTTTGGAAAACGTTCCTCTGCTCTCCGAGCCAGGCTGTAGCCTGTGGCCCCCGACCACTCACCAGGATTCTTTTGTAAGGGAAGTCCTGCAGCTCCCCGTTCCTGGGGGAGTCAAAGACCACCGGGAAGGTCTTGTGTGGTGCCTGAACATAGCCCAGCTCCATCTCGTCCTGCGAACGAGAGAGACACCCTGTGGACAACAAAGCCTCATTTGGGACTGAGCGCTTTGGGGAGGACTGTTCTTGCGGGTTCTTTTTTCAGGCCAGCTTTGCCCTTTGGGCTGAAGAAGACAGGGGTTCTTGATGCCTGCTGGCTGGAGGAGGGGCTGGGGGCTCAGAGACGGTGTGCTCTCACCTATGGTCACACAGCAAGACAGGCGGGGAATAACTGGAACGTGGATGTGACCCTGGGGGGGGGGTGTCCCCATGCCGGATCAGGGAGAGTGGCCACAGAGAGAGGCTCGGGGTGGCCTGAGTTGGACAAACAAATCTCTAGACATCAGCCAGCACCTCTGGCCTCCACACCTGGTCAAGGGCCAGGGCTGAGGGGACCAAAGGAGGTATAGGTCTGCCTCCTTCTCAGATCTCTCAACATCTAGCCCAGCTTCATCCTGACCTCTCTGGTCCTGGAGGCAAAGATGGCCCAGCACCCCTATGACATTTTCAATTATAGAGGCAGGGGGAGGGGTTGTTGCAATAGGTTCACCACACTAGGGGCTTCTCAGCCTTAGCACTCATGGCCCTTGGGGCCAGACAATTCTTTGTTGTGGGGCTACCCTGTGCCTTCACTGTAGGACACATGGCAGCAGCCCCGAGCTCTACCCACTAGAAGCCAGTAGCATCATCAGGGTGACAGCCATTTCTCCAGATACTGCTAAACGTCCCTTGGAGGACAAAGTCGCCTTCCGTGGGGAACCATAGGGCCGTGCTGCTGAGGACAGGGATTGTGTCCCACACCTCCACCATCCCATTCAGGGCCAGCCCCATGCCTAGCCCAGATCCTGTGGGTGAATGCAGGTTCAATCCAGTGTCAGTGTGTGCCTGGGTCTCTAGAAAGTTCTAGGGAGAGGGAGGGAGCTCTAGGTCTATAGTAGGAAAAAGGAGTGCCCTGGGGAGGACAGTCACAGCCCCCAGGTCCTTCTAGATATCCACAAGCAACCCCACCCCCCAGCCCCGCCCCCAGTTAGGATGGGCCAGCCTCTCCCTCCACAGTGCCAATGGCGTCCTAGCTGGACGCTGCCCGGCAGCCCCGGTACCTGGATCCAGCGGTCATTGCGGTTCTCGTGCTGCGGGCAGATGGTCAGCGTGCAGCTGGCCTTCCTGGCCAGCTCTGCCACCGCGTCCACGAAACACGTGTTGTTCCTCACACTGCGGATGAGCCCAGGCAGCACGACTCAGGACCGAGCCAGGTGTGGGGGCAGGAGGGGCCGCCAGCCTCCGAAGGACACCCACGCCCGCCTCCCACACTCACCGGCACACGTACACCTCCAGCGGCGGCAGGGTGCTGGGCGTCATAATCCAAGGCGCCACGCGGAATACCACGGTGTCGGTGAAGATCGGGGACTCGGAGAAATCCTACAGCAGAAGATGGGCAGATGGGGAAGAGCACTGACCTTGGAGTCCAGAGGCCAGGCTGATGCCCCTGGCATCTCCTCATTTCCAGAGGGGCCACAGCAGGGGTGGGGGAGGTCAAGAGGTCTGGGGTCCTCCACACCCTTGGTGCCCATCTCTCCCGGGGATGGAGCCCTCTCTCACCCTCTCTGTCCGGGCCACCCCTCACCTCATTGGAGTCATCCAGCAGGGTGACGTGGAAGGAGATGAGCCCCGTGAACCTGGCGTCGGGGAACGAGAGGCCCTCCACAAAGAAGCGTTCCTCGTCCCCGTGGAAGCGGGGCACCTCATAGGACACCTTGTCCTGGCCCAGCACATGCCTGTAGGCCTCGCATGAGTCTTCAGGACCTGGGAGGGGACAGGAGGAACGGCTGTGACCTCTAGGTGGGCCCACAGAGCACAACAGATGCAGGAGGAGCTGGGCCAACCTCACACTCCAGATAGCAGCCCCCATCTCTGCCCTCCCATCAGCGAAAGAGAGAAGATGCTTGATCCCCAGTGTGGGCGAGCCAGTGAAAAGGCCATTCCTTTCTAAGACGCCTGTTCAGACCTTCTGGAGGACAGCCCGGCAGCCTCTCGCAAAGGAACCTCTACTCCTAATGAGCAATCCCGCTTCTAGGTGTCTTTGCTACAAATACAGGTACAAGGGTATTCATGCTGTTTAGTCATTGAACAAGTATTTACTGAGCACCTACTGTGCACCTAGGAGGCCAGGTTCCAGGCTCAGGATACAGCCGTGAGCAAGACCCCTGCACTCGAGGAACCTATGTTGTGGTCAAATCAGAACACCGCGAACCGCCGTGTGCTCAGGGGAGCGGGTGAGCCACAGCATGCCTGTGCTCCAGAATACCACGCAGCTGTGCAAAAGACCGAGGCAGAACTGCGTTCGTTCAGAAAGGAATGTCCACCACACACACACATGCACACACACGCATGCACGTTTGATGCCTACAGAGAAAAGTCAGGAAGAACACATAGAGAATCGTTAACAGTGAACGCATTTTCAAAAGTCAGATTTAGGGATAGGGATGAGCATTTTTTTACCTTACATGCTTCTATCTTGTTTGGTCTTTTAAAATTTTTTAATTTTTAAAAGAGATTTATTTTAGAGAGAGTCCCCGTGTGTGAGTGGGGGGAGGGGCAGAGAGCAGAGGAAGAGAGAGAATCACAAGCAAGCTTCCCACTGAACGCGGAGCCGGACGTGGGGCTTGATCTCAGGACACTGAGGTCACGACTGGAGCCAAAACCAAGAGTCAGACGCCCACCCCACTGCACCACCCAGGCGCCCCTTCTTTGAGCTTTCCAAAAACGAGCATTTTATTACTTGTATGCATTTGTATCTTTAAAGATTTTTATTTATTTATTTGACAGAGAGAGATCACAAGTAGGCAGAGAGGCAGGCAGAGAGAGAGGGGGAAGCAGGCTCCCTGCTGAGCAGAGAGCCTGATGCGGGACTCGATCCCAGGACCCTGAGATCATGACCTGTGCCGAAGGCAGAGGCTTAACCCACTGAGCCACCCAGGCGCCCGCATTTGTATCTTTAAAAGGGATTTTATGTCCTTGCTCATACTGTGGCTCTGTAGAACAATTGTCATTGGTTTTGGGGGGAGATGCATGCTAAATTCTGCAGGGACAATAGCCATCGTGTCAGGGAGTGGCTTTATGATACAGAGAGAGCAAGAGAAGCAAACAGCGGTAATTGTTGAATCTGAGTGACTGGCGTCCAAGGGGTCATCGCTGTTCTCTCTACTTTTCTGTGTGTTTGAAAGTTTTGATAAGAATTTCCAAACATGCTTAAATTATATTTTTAAATATGTCTATTTAAGATTTTTTTATTTATTTGAGGGGGAGGGGCATAGGGAGAGGGAGAAGCAGACTCCCCGCTAAGCAGGGAGCCTGACTTGGGGCTCGATCCCAGGACCCTGAGATCACGACCTGAGCTAAGGGCAGGCGCTTAACTGACTGAGCCACCCAGGTGCCCCTGAATGTATTTTAATTTATCCAATCAAACGACCCTGGGCCATGGCCGGGGCCCCACCTGTTTCAGAGTTTCCCCATCTGACCATGTTTCCTTGCCCCCCAGGGCAGGCTGGAAGCCAGAGCAGAGCCTGCCCTCTAGTCCAAGGTGGGGACAGGGGCAGTGGGCACAGGGGAGGGGATGGGCACGAACTCACCGCAGGCGTGGAAGACCCGTGCCCACTTGGCGTCATAGCTGGAAGTGTGGAGGATGAGTCTGTGGTCATCGAAGAGGGCAGCAGGGCCTTGGGTCCTCAGAACCATGACGGACATGTCTTCCAGGTCTGTGGAACCAGATGGGGCAGCAACTCCATGGGCCCCTGACACTCCGTGTCTTCTCCTCCTGCCCACCACACACCCCCCTCCCGGGGCAGAGGGAGCCAAGACTTGGGTCTCTGAGCCCCAGCTCTGCCCAGCCTGTGAAAATGCTAGAAACCATCAAGAACAAACCATGAGGACGTCTGAAGCATGTGCTACGCGAATGTGTCCGACCCTCTCTGGGCCTCCGCTCCCTCACCTGCCCAGAGCGACAGGAAGTACAGAGCGGCCTGCCCTGAGCCCAGGGACAGGTGAGAAGCATGCGGTAGGCAGGCCACCTGGGTGGCACGCGGCTGAGAGTCTGGTCTCAGTCCAAGCATCACTCCCTGTTGACACCAGGCAGGCCCCTCCCTCCCCAAGCCTCAGTGCTCCCCAGTCTGAAATGAGGGACAGATGTGCCCACATTCCAGAGAAACTGTGCCTGCCCAGGCATAAGGCACCTGCCTGCTCCCCAGGCCACTATAGTGGTCTTCCTCACGGGGCTGTTGTGCGCAGTGCCGGACTGACTTAGAATGTGGGGCATCCTGAAATGCAGGCCCGGGGTGCCTGGTGGGGAGGCTGGATTTGGGGTGCGGATAGGAAGCTTTGGATCTGCCACAGACAGGCTGGGAGGGGTCAGCTGCCAGCGTGAGGCAGGTTTTGAGCGACATCAAAGTGTGTCTGGGAGCTGGAACTCTGGCCCCTGGTGCTCCCTTCAGTGCGACCTACAGGGTAGCTGAGCAGTGACCCGGGGCACCCCCTTACCTTGCAGGCAGCGCACCTGCTGGTCTCGGTTGTCCTGGTCATGACAGTTCAGATTGTCCCTGTCGCAGTTCACCAGCAGGATGGCTCCATACCCACCGGGCCCCCAGACCCAATCCCGCTGCCAATGGCAAAGCATAATTGGTGATGGGGCTCAGACCTGTCCTCTGCCCCTGCCCAGCAACCTGCTGGCCAGCCTCCTGACCCCCGTCTCCTCCTCCTTGCCCTCCCTGTGAGGACAGGTCCATGCTCATGGAAGCACTTCCTGCACCAGACACGGCCGTGGCTCCAGACTGCCCACAACAGCAAGTCCAAACTATACAGAGGTCTTTTATGGGCAAATGCAGTGTGTCTTGGGCCAATGTCCTATTTCTCAACAGACAACTTCCTGATTACAGATCTATTCCCGGCTCCAGGCCTTGGCTCCCGCTCATCCCTCCACCTGGAATCCCCTCCCTCTTGCATCACTTTAGAGCCTAGCTCAAGTGGACTTCAAAGGAAGTCTTCCTTGTTCACATAGCCCACCTTGACCTTCTGCTAAGATCTCCCAGTGCGTTGAGTGCCACAACAGTTCAGCCCAAAGTTCTTTAACAGCCTCATATTTGGCAGAGTTCCCCTTTCGCCTAAATCAGAAGATTGGCACGCCAAGGCCGGGGGCCACCTCTGGCCCGCTGCCTGTTTTTATAAATAAAGTTTTATTGGAATAGTCACATCCATTGAATTGGCTACAGCTCTTTCACACTACAATGGCAGAACTGAAGAGTTGCAACAGAGACACTTTGCAATGCCTAAGATATTTACTATCTCACTTTTACAGAAAAAGTTTGCTGACCCCTGAGCTAGACTGAAATTCCAGAAGGACTTTTCCCCACAAAGCAAGGCGTAGCCCAGTTCTGGGCATGTATATGCTTGATAATTCTTGGTAATGATTTTTCTCCTGGTGAAAGAATACCCCCAGCCATGCCTACTTCCCATTTGGCTCTCCCGACCTCGTCACCAGCTAGGAGGCAGGGGAATACCCGTAATGGCCTTGCCCCTCCTAACCCAGCCTAGGTCAATGCCAAACTCCATGCCCCTTTCTGGGTCCAGGTTGAGTCACCCTACCTTGTCCACAAAGCTCCTATTCTGCCTGCCCTCACAGTTCAGATCACAATCCAGAGCGATGTCTGTAAGGGGAGGAAAGAGCATGAGTCACTATGGGGTTCCCAGGAGTCCGGCACAAGTCCAATAATGCATATGTTGCCTCTAACAATGCCTCCTGCAGACAGAGCATTTTCAGCTTTCTTGCTAAGTGCTTTGCAGGTGCCTGTACCCATGCAAACTCCCACCCACCATCCAGGAGCTCCCAATTCCACATCCTTGGCAATGTTAAGTATTAAGCATCTTTCTATTTAGGTTCTGGTCACTGGGAATTTCTCTTCTGTGAATTGTTTGTTCATAGTCTTTGCCTATTTCATTAGTTTATGTTTTTTTCCTATTGATTGGAGTTCTCCATAATCTATGTGTACCAAATCAGCTGTGTGCATTGCAAATTTCTTCTTGCAGTCCATATTCGGACCTTTTTTCCCTTTTTGTTTAAAGTAAGCTCTGTGCCAAGGTGTGGCTTGAACTCACAACCCTGAGATCAAGATTCATGTGCTCTATGGGCTGAGCCATCCAGGCAGCCCTATAGTTTGACTTTTTGCTTGTCTTCTGTTGTGTAAAAGTTTTAAAATTTAGTACAGTCTAATTTATCATTGCCCTATCTTCAAGTTCACTGATCCTCTCTCCAGCTGTGTCAAGTCTATCAAGACAACCCACTAGGAGCATTTTTAAAAAATCTGTTACCGTGATTTTTAGTTCTAGCATTTCCATTTGACACCTTATAGTTTTCATCTCTCTGTTGACATTCCCCATCTTTTCATTCATGTTATCTACCTTTTCCTTTATTGTATTAATCAATCTGAGTTACTGTGCATGGAGTTTACATGTCAATTTTTGTTTAACTGGCACAAAAATCTTAAGGTGGAAAAGCAAGGTCCAGGTCTGGAGTATGTCTCCCTTTGCTTCCAAAAGGAGGGAGTGTACAGGTATGCCTGTGTCCACCTGCACAAGCACAGAAGATCTCTAGAAGGATGCTGGGCTTGGGGAACTGGAAGTCTTAGGTTGGGAGAAAGGGAAGCTTACTTTTCCATATATATACCCTTTCATCCCATTAGAATTTTTAAAATATACCCTTATTTGAATTTTTAAAATAAAATGAGTTGATGTTTGTAAAAAGAACCCTGTTCCTTGTCATTCCCAGCCACCCCCCACCCTTGGTCCAGGCCCTTGCATGGGCTCCAACTTACCAACACAGGTGAGGTAGAGCACCGCATAGGCCAGGGGCAGGGGCTCATGGCTGGAGTGGTAGGAAATCTGAACCTGTAGAGAAATGGGCTTAGAGTCAAGCTGGCAGAAGCCAATATCTCCCACCCCAAAGGACAGGTCTTGGGGGATCTGGCAGGACAGAGAGAGGGTCTCAGGAAGCTCTGTGCACTGAAGTTGAGTTTACCAACCCAGCTCTTCTGTTAGTCTCTGTGCCATTTATTTTTCCATGCCTTGTTTGGCCCATCTGTAAAATGGGACCATTTGTGAGGGATTCCCTGGAGACCTGGGCCCCAGTGCTGCCAATGACTAACGTGGGACTTGGACAATCCCCTGCTCCCCTTTGGATCTCTGTTTTGCTGCTCATAAACTGAGGAGGTCTCTGACTGGGTAGGGTTTAGGGACCCTCTCTTATCTGGGGGATTCAGACAGGCTTGGTCTTGAGCCCAGCACCTCTGGGTTCTTAGACCTTGGCTGAGGTCCCTCACCTTTCTGAGCTGTCTGTTTTCCTCATCTGCAGAACAGCAAGCATACGGGTCCCTGCTGGCCGCAGAGGATTATAGTGCCACTTAGAAACAATGCACGTACCAGACTGACCCCATAGGAAGGGCCCCAGACATGCCTGCTACTGTTCATAGAGGGCGGGCGGCATCACGTGAGCTGCTCCAGAGCTCTGGGCTCCGATTCCGGATCCACCACTTGTGATTATCCTGGGAAGAGTCACTTGCCCTCCCCGGGCCTCAAGGTCCCCTGCTGTAAAGTAGGGATAATAATAGTCCCTACCCCAGAGGGTTGATTGTAGGCTGTGACCATCAAAGAAGGAAGGTGGGTGACATGCTCGGCGCTGTGCTTGGCCACGGCAAGCCCCGATAGCTGTTAAAGGCTGGTCTGGCAATGACTGATGAGAACACAGCTTCAGGCCCATGTGTCAAAGCTCCTTCAACCCACTGCTCTCTGCTTGCGCGGTCCCTCCTGCTGGGGGTCCCTCAGCTCTGTCAGAAGGCTCAGGATCTTACAGAGACCATTCACCCCTCAGTGCTGGGAACCCCTAAATCCTGCAATCACTGACCCCCAACTGTCAAGCCTGAGTTGGGGCTCAGTGGTCTCAGGCACACAGTTACCTGGATCCAGGGCAAAGATGGGGGAAGGGGAGGGGCAGGACACTCTGACCCTCCTCAGTTCCTTTGGTCTTTGGCATCCACATGGCCCCCAGCTTGGCAGGGCACCCAGGAGGGGCCCCTCACCAGCTGGCTGGTCCTCTTGCCCTGCCCCGGGGACTCTGTCCTGAACCTCACCAACTCTGCTACTCACTAGATCTGCTGACTTTGGGTAAGTGGTTTTGGTTTCCTTATCTGTAAAATAAGTTCATTTACCTGTCCGCCTGCATCACAGAGCTCCGTGGAGGGGCTCATCTCAGATACGTGGGTGGGAAAAGACGAGGGGGTGATGAAGGGAACCACCCCCCAGGTGTCAGGAAGTTCTGTGCAGAGAACACGGCTACTCTGAACCTTGGCGGCCCCACCAACGGAATGGAGATCAGACCCTGCCTCTCGCAGCTGCTGTGAGGCCTGTGTGAGGTCATGGCTGTCCAGGGCGTGGCATATGGTCAGTGGTCCTTAAAAGGTCAGTTTTTTGCAACACCACACCTGACGTGGAGTGGAAACCTGTCACTCCTTCATAACAAGCTACTTCCCGTGACCCCTTTAAGGGGGCATCACCTGGGCCAAGCTCCAGGGCCACCCCATTTCTTTCCTCTTTTAAATGTCCCTGCCCTGAGGCCAGAACCCTGCCTACAGCTAGGGCTTGTTAAACTCACCCTTGGTGGCTGAATGAGGAGAGGAAGGGAAGTTATGTGCCTGAGAAGGGAAGGAAGTCAGGGAGCAGGTGGATTAGGAGGTGAGGCACCTTATAGAAGGGAGTCTCCCCGTCACTTGTATCCCCCCATTTCTGCTTTCTCTCCTTCATTCAGGGTGGCAGAGATCTCCTAATCAACCCTCAGCCTGTAGATGGGGAAACTGAGGCCTGACACAGAGAAACGGGGACACCTCCCTTCACCGGGGTCTTGGGAAACAAGAAAAGGAGCCAATATTGACTCATGTTCCACCCTACACCAACACCAGGAGGAAAGGTGCTGTGATCATCCCCATTTTACAGACAGGGAAACCGAGGTCCAGAGGGCTGATGTGACTTGCCATCAGACACACAGTTTATGTCTGTAAAGCTGCAGGGCTGGCTAGTTCCAGGGGCAGGTACTTACCCATCACGCTACCCTGCCATCTGGGTAAATAGAGGGTGCCAACCCTTGTGGAGCTAGATCACGGCCCCACCCACCCCCCACCCCGGACCAGGGGACCTGCTCACATGACTGTCATTGAGGTCGTTGCTGGGTGAGTTCATGACCACGATGATCTCCAACCCCGTATCAAAGTGCCACCGCCTTGTGTCCGCGCGCTCCCGGCCTCTCTCCACACTAGAAGAGATGTAGATATCCACGCCGGGGGGTCCCATAGACCTCGAACATCTCTGTGCCCTCAGGTACCGACCTGGGAAGGACAAGAAGCCATGGGAAGTTCTAGAGGGATGCAATAACTCTTCAGATGCTTGAGCTTTGGCTCAAACTCTTGGTTCCTTCAGGAAGCCCTCCCTGACCACCCCAGTCCTCTCAGATCCCCACAGCAAGCTCCTGGGAGTGAAGCCTGGACCCCACACGAATGCATTCACCATCTCACATTCCCAGGTTCTGTGTTCATTAACACTTCCCTTGTGAGTTATTTTAACTCCCAACAAAGCCACAAGCTCTTTGAAAGTTAGGACCCAATGAAGTACTTTATAATCCCCCAGTGCCAAGCTGGGCACAAGGAGCTCAGGGGACACCAGCCAGCAAATGGACCCCAGTGCAATTCCAAGACCATGGCTTTAAGAGCAGTCTCCCCCTCAAGGTCCCAATGCATCCCTCTTTAGCGGGTGAGATGTCCTCTGGGTGTTCCCTAGGGAAGGGCAGTAAATCTTGTGGCGTGCCCACCATGTGCCAAGTGCCTTGTAGTTCCTGGCTCCTTTTATTCTTATAAGTCTACAAAGTGAGTGGTACCATCTCCAATGCAAAGGTTAGAAACTGAGGCTCAGAGAGATCAAGTACCAAGCCCAAGATCACACAGCATTGAATGGCACAGCCAGGTTTGCCTTGCGTCTCTGACACATAGCCCCTGCTTCTCCGTGGCGCTTCAGTGTCACCTGGGAAACTGGGCCAGATTCAGTCAAACAACCAGTCATTATTCGTACGGTTAAAAAGTCTATGTCATTTGGCCCTGGGACTGCATGTCCCCCACCCCACCTCCAGCTAGTCCGTAGTCCTGTTTGAAATCAGTCCTTTCACCCTCTGATTGTCTGTGGGGTGCCCGGGGCGCCCACTGTGCCCAGAGGCATTGCCAGACCGAGGCAGATATACCCACTGCTCTCCCCACTGCCCCAGAACCTTCCATCCCATCAGGGAGTTAAAAACAGCCCTGCCCGGGGCAGCCAGATGGGGCTTATGGCCAGGAAGTCAGTGGTCAGTGGAATCCCATGTAGGGACAGGCCACTGTGAGCCAGAGGGACCAGAAGGCTTCCTGGAGGAAGCAGCATACACATGTGCCTGGGGGATAACAGAAGCTGACATTTGTCGAACTCTGGTCATATGCTAGCCCGGTGCCAGGTTCTTAGGTCTATTACATCACGTAATCCTTTCAATAAACCTAGGAGACGCAGACTACCATTGTCTCCCATTTTACAGATAGGGAAACTGAGGTTAAGTAAACCGTCCAAAGTCATGGAGCTAGTAAGTGGCAAGGCCCAAGCCTTCTGGTTCCTGAATCCATATTCTCACCCACCACCTCCCCAAGAGTAATCACGATAACCCTAGCCCCCGAGGTCCCCATCCCCTGCACGCTCACCAGGGCAGGCCTGGCTGAGCCCTTCCAACACAGCATTCATTTCATCCTCACTGTGGCCCCGGGAGGAGGGATTATTACTCCCACTTACACCTGGGGAAACAGAGGCTCAGGACGAGCAAGAGACTTGCCCAAATTGGCACAGCCAGCGATTTGACTCCAGGCCCTTTCCCTTTCCCTGCCCCACTGGGAGGAGAGCAGACCTCCTTCAATACACCCTCTTCACTCCTCCACCAGTGGGATCCTGATACTTCTCAAAAGGCTTTTTTTAATAAATAAAGAAATAAGCCAAGCCCAAGCTCCACTTCATGAGGCGGGTCCCAGCCCAGTGCGTGGCCCTCCCAGGCGTCCTCGCCAGCGGGGCGGGGCCGGCACACCTGCTTCTCCTCCCAAGGAGGGCTGCTAGATTTAGCAAACAAAAATAGAGAACACCCAGTTGGACCCGGATTTCAGATAAACAACGAATAGTTGTTTTAGTCTAAGGACGTCCCATGCGATATTTGGGACAAGCTTACACTAAAAAAATATTAATTGATTATCTGAATTTCAAATTTAACTAGGCATCCTGGATTTTATCTGGCAACCCTATTCCCAAAGCCTGTAATTTCCAGGGCTGGTGGTACCCTCAGTCCTGTTGTGCCCTGGGTGTGGGAGCCAGGCCCATCATGGGACATAAAGAATCTGGACAGAGAAGCATGGGGGCACAGAGACAGAGAAAGACAGAGACAGAGAAAGACAAAGAGATGTAGAAAAACCCAGAGAGATGGAGAGCCAGAAAGACAGAGACACGTGGAGATAGACTGGGTATGAAGGGCCCGCCCACCCCAGCCCAGGCAGCACCCTCAGCCTCACTCCACTCCCTGAGTCACCGGGCCTCCAGCTTCCCAGGAGGCTTATAAACTTTTCATGAAACTTCCCCCAACCCCAAACTGCTGCTTGGACCCTGGGCGCCCGTGAGCTCGGGGTGAACAGCTTGATGATCCTTCTGGTATGGGACCCCACCCAGCTCCCCCGCCCCAGCCCCTGGGTTTGGGGTACCTCCCTGTACGAGGCACCAGGGATCCGATGAAGATTCTGCCAGGCCTGGGGGGAAGATGCTGAGAGCCCAGTGGTGCCAGGACCAGAGTCAAGAGTCAGATTCTAGACTGGGCTGGGTCGCACCTAAGCCAGGTGACCTTGAGAAATGACCCAGCCTCCCTACAAAGTGGAATGATGACACCCATTTTGTCAACCTCACGGGCAATTGCAAGGCTCAGATGAGATAATGGGAAAGTCTTGGAAAACCACCCATCTGAAATGGCGGAAGGGTGATAGTCAAGTAAATTATGAAATGGGAAATGAGTAGACAGAGGCAGGTTGAGAGGGTGGACTTGGGGGGGCTGGGGGCAGCTTCCTGGAGAGAGGCAGGGGAACCAAGGACAAGGAGGAGAAGCATCTGAGGGGAATTATTTTCACAGTGAAGGCTTAGGAGGTCAAGGGAAACTCAGGCTGTCGTGGGGAGCCAGTGAAAGTTCTTGATCAGGTGGGACAACACCTTGGAGCTGCGGTGAGGGGGTTAAGCCTGCGGGCGTGGGCAAGCTGGGTCCAAATCCCAGCCCTACCATCCACTAGGTATGTGACCTTGAGGGAGAGGCTTGGTCTCCCTCTGCCTCAGTGTCTCCGTCTACAAAGTAGAGATTAAAGGAGTCAGTGCATGTAAACGCTTGAGACAAGTGAAAGTTAAAGGCACCTGAACTCATGCCTTACTTTACTCCAGGGAAACTGAGGCCCAGAAGAGAAGGGACTAGAAGGTAGGGGTCCAGACTCCCCCAGTCCGGTGCTCACGCCCCATCAGGGAAGCTGTTAAGAAGATTAAAACGGTGGCTTCTGGGAGAAGAGCCTGCATCAGGTACAGGAGGGTCTGGATTTCCCATCTTGTGGAGGGCAGGGGAAGAAGCCAAAGGCTCAGCAGGACAAAATTTCCTCCAACCTGTCCACACCGAGCTGCCAGCGAGCTGCTCTAGACTGTGCCCCAGGCCCAGCCCAGCTTTCCCTCACTGAGGCTGTCCACACACGGGACGGGCTAAGGCCCTTCCCCGCACTGAGCAGCTCTGGCCAGCCCAGGGGCCCACCTGCAGGCCCTACAAGCCCAGTTGACAAAGGGGGAGGGGAAGCATGCTACTGTGACCAACAGATCTGTTTTGTCAGAAACGTGTATGTCGCGCAGTGTAGGACTTCCAGTGCGAAGACCTAGAAGGTCTTGGGCAAACCAGGACAGCTAGTCACCATCACGGTGACCAACCTCAGACCTATTTGTTGAAAATGCAGAGTCTAGACCCAGCTGTGCTGTTGGCAGGGTCCCCAGAACCTGTCCTTCAAGCCACACGATGCCCAGTGACGTCTGAGGACCATGGCTAAGGGTGGGCTGTCTCCCTGGGCAGCATGGGAAGGACTCAGGGTGAGCCCACCTCGTCCTAGGAATCAAGACAAGTCAGGTCTTCCTTTTTGCTCTATGTCACCCCTCAATGGTGAGGACAATGATGGTGACAATGGTGACAGAGGTATCCCCACAGCCACACACTGTCGGTCCTATTATCCCCACTGTACAGATGAGGGAACAAGGCCAGAGATGACAGGTGACTGGTCCAGAGTCACACAGCTGGTCGGTGATGGAGTTCTGACCCCCGCTCCTCTGCAAACCCTAACCCATCCTCCCCTTTCATGGGCTCAGGGTCTTGGCCTCTGGGAAAACGAAACCAGACATTTCAGAGCCAAAAAACTGATGGGAAAGGTCTTTGTGGCTGAAACAGACAGGTTGACGAGATGACCACCATGGTCCCCACTGACGTGGCCCACGGGGGCAGAGAACATCAAGGCCCAGACAGCTCGGGCTCTGGGTGACAGTACTCGTGGCCCCTCCCTGTTCAGCGAGGTTCCCAGGTCCCAAGTCCTCTGGCCTCATCATCACCAGGGTCAGAAGACCACGGCCCCTCCTTAGTCTCACATTCTTCCGCTGAGAAAATGTACCCCTGAGAAATGGTGGCCCCATGAACCCTTTTCCTAAAGCCCAGGTCACTGGGAGATTTGGCGATGCACCAGCCTCCCAGGGCCCTGCTCTGCCCAGGCAGGTCAGCACTCTCACACAGCACAAGCTGGGGAAAGCAGATGGAGAGCCACTTTGTCAAACCAGGGAGGGTGCTCAGACACCTCCATGAGCAAAGCGTGCAACCCAGTGTTCAATGTCAGCCTCATCAGGGCCCATGAGGGGAAACTGAGGCCCAAGAAGGCACAGAAAGTGGCTCAAGATGAGGTAGCAAAGGATGACTAAGCTAGGATTAAAATGCAGGAATCCTGCCCCCCAGATGCCCTCTGCCTTTTCACTCCATTGACCTGTCTCTGCTGAGCAAGAGGGGACAGGAGTTGTTAGCTTGTCTAACCAGAGCAGTGGTTTTCAACCCTGGCTACAAATTTGTCCCCAGGGGGGCACCTGGGTGGCTCAGTGGGTTAAAGTCTCTGCCTTCAGCTCGGGTCATGATCCCAGGGTTCTGGGATCGAGCCCCACATGGGGCTCTCTGCTCAGCAGGGAGCCTGCTTCCCTCCCTCTCTCTGCCTGCCTCTCTGCCTACTTGTGGTCTCTGTCTGTCAAATAAATAAATAAAATCTTTAAAAAAAATTTGGGGGCCGCCTGGGTGGCTCAGTGGGTTAAAGCCTCTGCTTTTGGCTCAGGTCATGATCCCAGAATCCTGGGATCGAGCCCCGCATCGGGCTCTCTGCTCAGTAGGGAGCCTGCTTCCTCCTCTCTCTCTGACTGCCTCTCTGCCTACTTGTGATCTTTGTCTGTCAAATAAATAAATAAAATCTTTAAAAAAAAAATTTGTCCCCAGGGAGGTTCAGCACACCTGTGTATCTCCCTCCCTTCCCTTTCCCCCTAGAAATCTCTGCTCAGGAAACCAAAACCCCCTTAACAAGTCAGGGTCATCTCCCACTCAACGGAAGGCAAGAAGACAGGGTTCAGTCCATTGCCACAGACAGAGTACCCCAATGGTCTTGCCTGCGCTCATCCTTCAAGGTTCTGGTTGGGGCCCTTCCTCCAGAAAACCTGCCCTGACTGCTTGGCTTATGTTCATTTCTCTTTTCTCATTTCCTCCTCCTCCCAGTAGGGTTTAGAGGTTGTACCCATCTTGTGGATGGCAGGTGTGGAGACACTTGAGGCTGTCCACTGTCCGAAGGGCTGGGCAGAGCCTTAAAATGATGATGAAGAAGAAGGAGGAGGAGGAGGAGAAGGGGGAGGAGGAGGAGAAGGAGAAGAAGTCGAGGAAGGAGAAAAAGAAGGAGGAGGGAGGGGAAGAGGGAGGGGGAGGAGGAGGAGGAGGACGGGAAGGTGGTGGTAATGGAGGAGGTGGTGGCAGTCACCATAATAGACTACCCACCATGGGCCTGGCATCACCTATGGGCTCCACACACACAGTCTCATTCAATCCTCCCCAGAGTCCTCTGAAGTGAAGGTCAACGTGTTTGGGTTGCAGCCTGGCTCCCCCACTCCTCACAGGCTGTGTGACATGCGGCGAGTTACTCAACCTCTCTGTGGCTCTTTTTCCTCATCTATAGGACAGGGATGATGATAGTCCCCCCTCGTGGAATTGAGAGAATTCGTTACTAAACACCAAGCACTTCGGGCAGCGCCTGGTACGGAGTCGTCTCTAAGTATCATCGCTGACAGGACCATGTCCATCCTACAGGTGAAGAAACAGACTCCGAGAAGTTAAGTGACTTTCCCGAAGTCAGACAGCTGCTAAGTCATTGCAGAGCCAGGACTGAGCCAGCACACCCACTGTCCTTTCCCTCCTTGGCCCGCCGTGTGAGCATCAGGATTGCGGTGACATCTCCAAGCTGGGAGGGACTATAGAGCTGACCCAGTCCCTCTCCCCTAGCAAGACAGGAATCCTTCCACCAAGCGTTAGGTGGTCCAGCCTCTCATAGGACTCTGAAGGGACAGGATTTTCAGAGAGCAGGGACCACGCCTCCTTGTTCACCGCTGTGTCCCCGTGCCCGGCCCATGCTAGACCTCAAAGAAATACTTGATGAATGTGTGAATGAATGGACCAGCAGCTCTCACTCTCCTCCAAGATGGTCTGGTCACAGCAGTCCAAGAATCCTTCATCTGAGGGTGCCTGAGGCTCTGCTGTGCACCCTGTGGCTGTCCCCCCCCAGTCTCCTCTGAGAACCCCAACACGGCCCATCCATTCTCATACCCGCAAGACACTGCTGCCTTTGCCTCTGGTGGCCCCAATTCGTCCTCCATCGTCTAAGGAAGCTCTGCAGGGGAGGAGCTGGCCCTGAGCCTCCTGGGCAGGTCAAACTAGAGGCACATCTGCCCAACGGGCATGAGGCAGCCAACACAGGTGAGTCACGGCCATGGGCACGCAGTGCTACAGGAGGGGGTGGCGCCAAACACCTTCCTCCCTTGTCACTCCTCTTGGTACAGCCTCTGTGGCTGTCCCCTCCTCCAAATCCCCTTCCTACTTCTCACTGTCCACCCACCATCAGCCAGGCTTTAGCTCCCCATGCCTAGCTTGGCCAGGTCTGCTCCAGACTTGGTTCCCTCCCATAACCAGCCCCTCACCCCTTCTCATCTAACCCTCTGGGGCCAACCCCATCTCTGCTTCCAACTAAGTTCGCTCCAATTTTTTAAAGTCTTAGTCTGGGTTACTGGCTCTCAACTGGGTGTGATTCCCCCCACCCCTTACAGGGCACAACTGGCAATGTCTGGAGACATTTTTGGCGGTCACTAGTGGGTGTGTGCCATGGGCATCTGGTCCGTAGAAGTAGAGGGCACTGCTCAGCATCTCCCAGTGCATAGGACACCCTCTGCAGCTGGGAATTATCGTATCAGTACTGCTGAGGTTTCAAAACCTGGTCTGAGGAGAGGGTACAAGACCAGTGACAAGGGAAGGGTGACACAGTTCTGCCTTCTCTCTTCCCCGTCCCCTTCCTCCCTGCATCCTCAGCTCAGCCTTGGAGCTGGGACCCCTGGAGTCTCCCCAAAAAGCTATGTAGCCAGCTCCCCAGTGGTTCCCAGAGCCCAGTTCCTAAAACCCTGCCCAAACTCTCCTTTTCTTCCTGGGAGAGAGAGAACGTGGGGTCTTACCTCCAGCCACTGGCTTTAAGGACATGGCCAGGGCACACAATAGGGCCATATCAGGTGGGCTCTGAATGGCTGGAGGAAACCAGATTCTTCCTCTTCAAGTGGCACACAGCTAAAATCATAAGACACTTGACCATGAATGGGTTTGAATCTTGGCACTGACACTTAGTGACTGTGTGACCTGAGCAAATGGCTTGCCCTCTCTGTGCCAGTTTCCTCATCCATCAAATGAGATGAAGCTGACAACAAACTTAGCTCAGAAGTTGTTGTGAGGTTAAACTGAAGCGTTTAAGTTCACGGATTAAATTCAAGGAGATTGCCACGCCTCGAACAGTGTCTGGCACACAGGAAGTGCTACATAAGCATAAATGATTTCTAAAGAAATGACTGATGCTCTTCGCAGAGCTCATAAGCTGGGGACCGTGGCTGGGGTACATACCTCTTCCTGTGTACCCAGCCTACAGGGTCCTCCACTGTGCCCAAACCCCCATGACACCAGCACCCTCCAAGGCCCTGGACTAGAGCTCAACCACTGCAAGTCCCCTGACTTGGGGGAGCCAGGCCTGCGCCCCGAGGAAGCCCTGCACAGCTTGCGGGAAGAGACCAAGGGGTTCAGCACCAACGGCCCGCAGACCCCCAGGCCTCTGGCTCTTACCCATAAATGTCCACGAGGGTCTCCACGCCAGCCACACACACGGCGCTAGTGGGATGCTCCAGGGACACACGCACGATTCTCTGCAGTGACATGCTGGCCTTGGGACTGGGCCTGGGCCACCAAACCCAACACGGCCCCACAGATCCCTTGACTGTGGTTTAAAGGACACCGGCCCCGCCTCTTCAGCCCGGGGTGCTAGCTCATTGGTTCCAGTTCTGGAAGCCCAGCCCCTTCCCAGAGCCGGGAGCTCAGAATTGGCCGGAAGGAACCCATCATTTGCATATGAACCTGTTGCTCCGCCCCCAGCATGGAGGGAGTCAGGTTCTCCCTCGAAGGGAGCAAGTCCCCACAGGTATCTGGCTGGGCCACGAGGGCTTTGAGAGGTGGAGGAGGCAAAGATGTGGGTTATTGATCTGGGCGCCTCCTTCCCTTTCCACACTCCTCCTCACCCCCTTTCCTGCATTTTCAGAGATGATCTGGTTTGGTGGGGAGCTTCTCTACCCTGCTGAAGGAGCAGGTGAAAATGCAGATTTCCAGGCCCCGCCTCCAGTCTGACGCGCCGGGAAGGGGGTACCGCCTGGCATGTGGATTTTTTTTTTTTTTTAATAAGCACCCCAGAGCATTTTGAGAAACTTTGAGAAACAGCAGACTTTTTCCTAAGAGCATGGAGTGTAGAAGCAGGACTGGATTCAGCCCTGCCTCAACCACATCCTGCTGCGCGGAGTGGGCGAGTCACATCATTGCTGTGTCCCTCACGTGTCGCTTCTGAAAATGCTGTTGCAGGGCTTCCATGGGACGACGTGGGCAGAGTTGTAGTGTGGAGCTCGGCATTATTTTATTACTGGCGTTGTTATTATTTTCACATGCCAAAGGCCTGTGGAAGGGGCGGGTGGTGCGATTTAAACCCTTTCCAGCTAGAAAGAGCTTAGAACATCAGGGCAGGAAGGCTCACTTGTCAGGTGGGGAAACTGAGGCCAGAGGGGGTATTCAGCCACCTGAAGCAGCAAGGGCTCTGGGGAGAGGGGTCTTGGGTTCAGATCCCGACTCCGCCATGCACCAGCTACATGACCTTTGGTGGTTACGTTCCCTCTCTCCGACCCTTGGTTTCCTCACCTGTAGAAAATGTGGCTCATCACCACCTGGGCAGAGATAATGGCGGGGACACGCCCTACCCAGCCAGGCTCTAAAGATGCTGGATAGATGAAGCTTCCTCCCTTCTCTCTAGCGATGCTGCCAGTCTGAGGCAAGGGAGGGACCGGGACCTGCTCCCCAGAGTTCCCAGTGGGTGAACTCCAGCAGTTCAAGGATCTCGGCGGGTCTCCAAGGCTGATGCCCTTCTCTCCCAGAGTCTGGGAAGGATGTTCTCAAGAAGAGCCGCTGGGCTGCTAGATTCAAAGACAGCTTTACTTTTTTTGGCTGGAAAATGGTGTGATGGCTGACTCAGCTCTGGGTAAGAGTCAGGGCTCAGAAGGAAGTCCAAACTATCTCCCTACCTGCTTATGAACACAGCAGGGGAATCGGTGCAGAAAGTAAGGGCTTCCCTTGGGCACCGGCCCACTGTGCTGGGGCAGGACCTGCTTCCGACTTAGAGCCCTGTAATCTCCCTTTGGAAGTAGAGCCAGGCCTTCGCCTCTACCCGGTTGATACCAGCTGGTAGAAATATATCCGCGGTTCGTTCAGACTAAAGTGTCAATGACTGATGGGCAGCAACGTTTTGCCTTTTAGTCCACAAGATAGAATAAAGTGAGTGAGTGAGTGAGCATCAAAGGGGGCCACCTGAGGCAGCAGCCTGTGCATAGGGTGAGAGGGGTGATATTTTCAGGCTCCTGAAACCAGAACACTGAGGCTGGGTAACCCAGTCACTTTAGAGGCAGGAAGGAAAGGGGATCACAGCGGCCTTTGGCCCTGGGCACCAGTCCCACTGAAGAGTCTCCTGCCTCTGCCAGTAGGGCCCAGCCCACCTGCATCTGAGAGATGGAAGAGAGAGATAGCCCAGGGAAGGAAGAGTTAGGACCCACCTCTCCTCTGATACCCATCTCAGCAGGGCAGTTGGCCTCAGAGCCATGGGCTGGTGCCAGTCATCCCGCTGAATCAGCCTGCCTGCCTGGCACCGGCCCTGGGGGCTCTCTCAGCCAGGAAGGAGCTGCCCACGGCCCGCAGTTGAGCCAAGGAGCTGGGGCATGGTGGGTGGAACGGGAAGGAAGGTTCTCCCCTGCCTCCTTCCCTCCTCCCTGCAGCCCAACGAATAGAAACTAAGGAGGCAGCCACTTGAAGAAATGCATATTGACATTTTTATTAATCACGTAGGAGATGATTGGTCACCGGAACATCCTCAGTGGGGGTCATCAGGGCCCTCGGACAACTCTAGCATTAATTCCAGAGCTTCCCACACTCAGGGTAGCTTGAGAAGGCCTGCTCCCCATCCTCCCGATCCCTCCGTAATGCCCATTCCCCTCCACCCACAGCCTTTCCCTGGGGAATCTCAACCCTGGCTGCTCGCCCTTGGTCCCGAAGAGCTTCCCTTCTCTCCTTGGCTCAGTCTAGGCTGCGTCATGGTTATGAGCAGAAAGTGCAAAGGTTCGACCAGAGGCTTCCAAATGGGGTCCCCAGAATCTTCTGGAAGGGGAGAACCCGGGTACACCACCCCTGACATCTTAAACCAGAGCAGTTCTGTTTCATCCGCTTCATATGTCCGGTTTCCATGGAAGTTTCTGGTTGCTAAGTGTTCTATGGCTCACAGAGTTTAACAGTGGCTGGCTAGCCTGGTCTTGGTCTTAACAGGGGCCACTGAAAACCCCGCTGGTGGAGGCCCGGGGCTGAGAGCCCCTGGCAATGGTGGGGAGGGGGCAGGCTGGCTCCCTTGTGCCTGCGCCTGCCTGGGGCAGGGGCCACCGCTTGCCCGGCACTGGCCAAGCCTGCCTGCCTGTGCACATCCCGGTGACCTCACCGGGGACCAGCCTCTTAACCAACCCCCACCCCCGTGGCAGTTCTCTTGCCCTCTTTGGGGGGCATGGGGGCGGATATAGGCCTGCTATGGGGTTGACTCCACAGCGGAAACCCAGGCTACGTGCAGGGTCTCCGAGCTGCTGAGAGAGACGGGGCGAGCCTTCCCTCCCACTGCCTGCGGGACCAAGGGGAATAATTAAAGACAATTAAAGGAAATTAAACCCCACCTTCAGAGATAACCTAATGGCCCCCCACCCTCTCTTAACATCGGGGCCCCTGCCCCCTGTGACATCTGGAACGGTCAGCACCCCCCGTTTTGCATCCAGAGTCCAAAATCCGAAGTGGGGACCAGGCCCCGCGGCTCATCCTCAGGCGTCGGCCTCCTCTGCCACCCTGGCCTCCTGCCAGCTTGCCTCTGTGTGTCCCCTGAGGCCTCTCTCCAGCCTCACAGTGTTTGGGGGCCGGAAGCAGCCAGCACTCGTAATTAAAGGCTTTCTAACCAGGTAACAAGCACCCTTCTAAGGACAGAGTCAGGTATTAAAGGGGTTTTGTTGCCTTTTCTTTTTTAAACAGGCCCTCAGATGCCGGGTTTTCCTGTCCTTATTTGTCTCTATAAACATGGCTGAGAGATCCCAGGAGGTCCCAGGACAGCTGGTAGAGAAAAGACGGTGTCTCACCTCCCTGCTCCTGCTCGTACAAGAACCACGGATGCCTGCGGCCCAGGCCCCCACCCCAGAGCCCAGGCCCTCTGGGACCCCTTCCTGGTGCCGACACGAGAGGAACAGCAGAACGGATGGGGAGCTACTTAGAGTGACCAGGCACAGCCGGCTGTGAACACATTAAGGCCATTGCTCTTTTCTAGAACCTCTAGGAGTGGTAGATCAGGAAGGCGGAGAGAGGAATGAGGACAGTCCTCCCTGGGCCGGGGAGGCCCCTCCAGAGGGAGGTGTGTGTGTGTGTGGTGTCCACGGTCATATCCCCATATCCCCGGGCCCGCGGTGGCCAGCACGTTTGCAAGCACTCGGGAAGAAGCGCCACGGGCTCCCCTCAGAGGCCGGAGGCTGGGTGGAGGGTCTTCGCCGTCACCCTGGCGTGGCTCCCTGGCAGGTGGGCGGAGGGGATGGCGGGCGGAGGCAGGCTCAGGGCACCATGTGCCACCACTTGAAGGAGAAGGGCTGCCGGCGCACGTTGGTGCCGCAGTGGATCTCCCCAAGCAGCTCGTGGTAGGACAGATAGTCGTCGATGAAGGTGCAGTGCAGGCCCAGCGGCTCCAGCAGGGCGCGTACCTTCTCCTCCAGGCAGCAGCGGCCGTTGATGATGGGTCCGAAGGGCTTGGGGATGCCCAGGTGCTTGCCTAAGACCACCATATTGACCTGCAGAAGAGAGAAGACGAGGGAAGCCTTGCTACCAGGGGACGCCCCCCACATGGGGCCCCGTCCCCAGGTCCATCCCATTCTCATCAGCATCCCTGGGCCGCTAGGACAGGCGCTTGCGCAAAAACTAGGGTCAATGGAAAGAAGAAACGGATTCGTGTTTGGAAGAGAAGATTAATACCAAGTAGGGCTGCCAAGGACATCCGTGATGCCTTTATGTGAATGACACTATTCCTCCAATACTTCCTCTCAAAATATCGTCAGATTCTAACAGTTTAGTTAGAGCAAGCCTTCACCATCATCGGCCAGAAACTTTGTACAACAAATATCTATGAGGTCCACGGTGTGAATGTCCTTCTGGTGTGGTGTCCTTGTGCAGTGCACAGCTTGCTCAACTCTCCCTGGAAGCCCTGATAAGTGTTATGGTTTTTTGAACATCCCCTGTGTGCCAGATACGGCATCACTAAACCTCACAGCCTCCCTCTGAGTCAGTGGCTGGGGAAGGTTAAGTAACATAATCCAGGCCACACAATCAGAGAACGGAGAGATGAGGGCGCTTGGGTAGCTCTGCCGGTTAAGCATCTGCCTCCGACTCAGGTCATGATCCCAGGGTCACAGGACTGAGTCCCGCATTGGGCTCCCTGCTCCTCGGGGAGTCTGCTTCTCCCTCTGTCTCTCTCTGTCTCTTATGAATAAATTTTTTTAAAAATCTTTTAAAAAAAGAGAACAGAGAGACTAAAATTTATGTGGATGTAACTCACGCCCAAACTCATGCTCTTTATCTTCTGCCAGAGTTGGTAGCACTGTGGCTGGCTGGGGGGCTGAAGAGTCAGGGCAAGGGGCTAGAGCCCCTGGTGGCTTCTCAGTCTCCAGGGGCACTTCCGCTTCCCTGGCTGAGGGCCCTAACCCTGGGGAAGGGAAACTTTCCTAGGACAGGGTATGGAAAGGTCTCAGAGAAAACCTCGGCCCCATACTGATGGCCAGAGGAGCTGCCCTTGGTGTTCCAATGGGACTCTTTGGGGACCTGCTGTCCAGAGGCTGGTGCTGGGTCATCTCAGCATGGGATGGACCACCCCGGACTCTGCGCTCTCACATTTTCCCTGCCATGGCCCCTTGGCCTCAAGTCTACCCTGCAGGGCCATCCGCAGCTGGGAATAGTATGAAGCTGGAGGGTCCTCTGGGGTCCATCCCATGGCCTTGGCCCTGAGCTACCCCATTGCCCACGAATGGGCCAGAATATGCCAGGTGGAAGTGAGGCAAGTAAAGGGACAAAGAGCCTGGAGAGGAGATGAGAATTCAGGAGACTGAAGGCTCCTCGCTTGCTGGGTGACCTTAGGCAAGTCAACCACTCAGCTCGGAGGGCCCGTTTCCCCATCCGACCCATGAGGGGGTTCAGTGAGCATTCCCTACGGGGCTCTTCCAGTGTGGACATACTGGGATCGTTTAGCAGGGTCTGGACCATAGTTTAGGGATTCTCACAGAGGGGTGTGTGTTGGGGTGGGGGCTCCCAAAAGAGGGCTGGCCAAGGTCATGGGCTGTGTCCCAGGCTCTCCCCCAACCTCAGCCAGAACCAGAACCTGGGTGTCCCTTAGTGTCTCCCTGACCAATATGGCGGCCACATGCAGCCACAAACAGCTGTTGGAAATTAAGTAAAAGCATAAATTTCATTCCTCAGCCACACTAGCTATATTTTAAGTGCTCAGTGGCTTGGTGGCTCCCACGTTGTGTTGTGTAGACACAGAACTTTTCCATTACCTGAGAAAGTTCTAACACACAACACTGCCTTAGTTCTCAACCAGGGTGATTTTGCCCCCAGGACATTCCGGTTGTCACAGCAAGGGGAGTGCTACTTACTGGTATCTCATGGGCAGGGGACAGGGACGCTGCAGCCATCCCATGAGGCACAGAACAGCCCCCACAACAAAGAATTTGGGCCCAAACATCAGGAGAGCCAAGGTCATGAAGCCCTGCCTTAGAGGTCTCTGCTAGGACCTCACAGTGAGGATGTAGGAGTGAGAACACATCCCGGCAAGGAAGCCCCGCCCCACATACGTGCCTCCAGGCAGGCCCTCGGGATTCACTCCCACCCCTTGGCTTGTCCAGTGACAAGGACTAGAGCGAAAGGCCCCGGGCTGAAGAAGGAGGGTCTCCTGTACTGGGGAGCCCAAGCCGCCAACACCCTGACATCCTTTCCCAAGGTGTTAATGGGGTAGCCGGTGCTGTGCTGATAGCATCACCGGGCCCCTCCCAGAGGCCACACCGGTGAGATCACACCTGGGCATCTGCTTGTCAGCTGCTGACTTAATGACAGCGGGGAGGCAGCCACCTTGGGCCCGCCTGCTCGCCTGGGGAGCTGCACTGGGGAGCAGCCTGTAGGGGGCCACGGTGCAGGGCAGAGCCAGCAGCTGAGGCCCAGGAAAGGACGCCTGAAACACTGGAACCAAAAGATGCTTCCTTTTTCCACTTGGGAGAAAAAAAACGCCCTTTGCTCAGGGCTGGCCCATGCATGGAAGGAGGTTCAGCCGCACCCCGGCCCGCATCCACGAGATGCCCATAGCTCCCCCATCCCCGTAGCAATGAGAAAATGACCTTGGGGGCAAATTTGCCCTGGTTGACAGCCACCGATGGAGATGCTTTGCACGAAAAGCAAACATACGCAGGAGAGGTCCACAAGCCGCCCACCCGCCCCAGTCTCTGCCCAGCGGCCCTCGGATGACAGGAAGTGCTTCTCCTCTGGAGCCCCAAATGACACCCCTCTGGGCCCTGTCGGGCCCCAGGGAAAGGAAATGACCTTCTGCGCTCTCACCATGTCAGGGAAGAAGGCTTCTGCATAGGAGCCCTTCAGGGAGAAGAGCTGGGGGATATCGATGATGTCCCGCTCAGTCAGGCCCAGCTCCCGCTTCAGCACCTCTCGGTTCCAGTCGATGCATTTCTGGGGGCAGGGGGAGAGGCAGCGGGCACCCAGGGAGCCGGGGAGGCTCTAACACTTGCTGAATGCCAACTGCGTGTCAGGCCCAGCGCACGGCGCTGGGCACACCTTCACTCCTCCAATCCTCCCAACAGCTATGGGCCCCTGCCACTCCCAGATAGAGAAACTGAGTCTCCAAGGACCTGCCCAAGGGCACAGAGCTAGGACACAGCAGAGCTGGGATGTGGACCCAGGCAGTTTTGGTTCCGAAAGTGCCTGCTGCTACACCACACTGCCCCAGGTGCAGCGTGAGCCGTACCCCTGTGCATCTCAGCAGTGAGGGAGAGAGTGCCAGGCTCCGCTCAGGAGAAGGGAAGGGCCTCCTCCATTTACTGAGCACAGCTGCCACGAGGTCCTGCACCTTGCACTTGGCTGGCATTAGCCCCGCCCCTCCCAGAGACCTCTTCCCGCCCTCACCCATTGTCCCTTTGACTCCCACCTGCCCCACCCCTCACCCCCACGGGGCCCCATTTCTCCACATTTCTCTCCTCTCACTCCGCTCCCCGGAACCTGGAATCTCATTTCCTCAGAGCAGAGCTAGATCTCCCTCATCAGACTGGAAGCTCCCTGAGGGACTGCTATGTCTCCTCCATCAGACCCTGGGTTTCCCACTGCAGAGGTCCTACCTTACCCACAGGTTTTGGCAGCCCTCAGGACAGGCTGAGCCCCTAATCCCCAGCCCAGCAATTCCTGGGGCTGCTTCTCCTGGGAACTGGGGGACCCCCAAGAACCCTCACCTGTACATAGAGACTGTCGCTCCTGAGACGACGGTCGGCCAGCATCTCATTAATGCTTCTATTCGCCTGGTAACTTAACCCTGAGAGAAAGAAGGTATGATGGGGGTTCAGGGCGGACTGCCCAGGGCCATCTCGGGCCTGGGGCTGTAGAATCCAGGCCAGGATTTTTCTCCTCCCTCAGGGCCAAGGGCTGAAGCTAGGACAGAGAATGTCAGACCCAGGAGACCCTGCAGGGCCCAGGCTCTGGCTGCAAGTGCTTCCCGGGGATGGAGCACAGGCTCCTGGGGAAGAGACTCCTGGCTCAGTGCTGTGTCATTAAGGTGCAGCTACCATTACTGAACACCCACCATGCCCTGGCACCCTCCTAAATTTGTGACTAATCTTTAAAACAATGCTAGAGGGATTAATTATCACCCCCAACTCAGAGCAGAGGAAACTGAGGCACTGAGCGGTTTGGAACACAAGCTTGATCTCCCAGCCCAGGATTTGAACCCAGGTCCTGAAGCTCTGCCACAACCCTTCCTGTGCTCCATTTCTCAGGTGGGAACACTGAGATCCATGGTGGGAAGGGGGAGGTGCTCAAGGGGGCCCAGCCAGATCCTTGGACAGTCTGTCAACTCCCAGAGGCAGGCTTACAGAGTGGCCCTGACCATGCACCTGGCTTCTCCCCCACTCCCCCACTCTTGAGCGAGCCCCAAAGCCCTGCCTCATCCTGGGGATAGCCCTGAACCAGGCACCCCTCCCAGGAAAGGGATAAGGGAAAGGATGCAAGATCAGCAGGGTGCACATTGTTTCCGGTGGCTTTCCTCTCCTGGGGTGTGGCCAGGAGCCACCCACTCTTACTACGGAGGTCACCCTCTGTGTGTGCCTGGGACAGTTCACTGGCCTCTTGGCTTCCATGCCTCGGCCCAATAAAGGGAGGACTGAGAGCCCTGCTCCCAGGGGAGGGTGTCAGAAGAATTAGTGATGTTCAGCTCTAAGCGGAGGGATCGGAGCAAGTCAAAGGCATAGCCACGAAAGGCATCCCCGGTGCCCAGGGCTGGCAGTGAGAGGGCAGGATCCCCACAGGGGGACTGGGCCATTGGCACTCACCATCAAACTGGGCGGCATCCCCATACCCCTCCTCTTCCTTCTCTTGGAACAGTCTGAGGCAAGCGCTAGGGCTCGCCAGGAGCAGCCGGAAACCCTAGCACAGAGGGAGGAAGAATGTCTCAGTGGATGGGGTCCCCCTAGGTGCAGGAGACCCTAAACTCAGGAAGGGCCTGAATTCAGAGGCCAGACCATGCAGGGGTGCCACCTACCAGCCACAAAGAACTCTCAGCGAGTCCCCTAATCCTCCAAGCTGGTTTGCACCCCCAAGCCTTTGTCCAAGACATTCTCTGCCTGGATGCCCTTATCAACCAGGGAACTCAGCCACTGGCCACTGGTCAGCCTTCCCTCCCAGGCTGCTCGCTCTCTGAGCAAGGGGCCCTCTCTGCAAGGCAGTGGAGCTGAGTGGTTAAGAGGCTGGTCCCGAGTCCTCTGTCTGGGTTTGAATCTTACCCTACAAGTAATTGCCCTTCTGAACCTCAGTTTTCCCATCCATAAGATGGGGACAATGATAATACTACCCACTTTATGGAATTGCTGGAAGATTAGATGACTTAAAACACATGCACACCATAGGTGCTCACTAAATGTTACCAGTTATCATTATCAGTGTCATCCCTGGGTTTAGACTGAGAAGTCTGGATCAGAGCAAATACCCAACAAGTGTGAGAATGAGTGTATGAGTGGTGGAGCCAACCAGCACCCTCCTGATCTGAGCTTGACCTCCTCCAGGAAGCCCCCCAGATGAACATCATCTTGTTCCCAAGGTGCCCTGACTCTGAGCTCCCTATGGACATAGGCAGTGAGCTGGTTCCAGGCAGCTTTGCCCCATCCATCTTTTTCCCATCAGGTTGGGGAGTGGGGGGTGGCTCAGGCAGGAGGAGAGGGGACGTACCTTTTGATCAGAGGTGGGCACAAAGCTCAGGAACTCATCCACGTGGCCCACGGAGAGCCAATCAGAGTAGAGCTCCACAGGTGCCTGCACCTGCTGGGCCTGCAGGAAGTCCCGGACCACCTTGGCCATCCGCCTCCCACCGGACCTGGCCCAGGAGGGAAAGAGTGGGGTCATTTCATGCCTACCATCCGCTGGCTCCCTGCAGGCACTCTCTGAGCCTCCCACCCCTGTCCAGGCCTCATAATGTCCCTCTGAACGGGTCTCCTTTCGTCCCCACTTCCTGGCTCCAGCTCCCAGGGTCTCCCCAGAACTCACTGTCCATCCTGACCGTCATCCCAGAGACTCCAGCCCTCCCATACACAAAGCATCCTCCCCAAGGCCAGGAAGGCCCTGCCAGCCCCTCCCCACTAAAAAGAGCCAAACAAGAGAGCTCCACCTGCCAAAGGGAACTAAAGACCCTGACCTCACATCCCATGACTCAGAGAGGTTGACTCTTTACCTAAGGTGCCCAGCCTCAGGTTCCAAAGATGACCAGGAGCTGGCCGGCCCCTCCCTCGGCCCAGTGTTTCCCGAAGCGTGAGGTCTGGACCACCTGGGAGTCAGACTCTGGTGGAGGCAGCTGCTTGTTTCAACAGAGAGTTCCTGAGCCCTGACCTCCTCCACATCTCAGAGTCTTTTTTTTTTTTTAAGATTTTATTTATTTGTTTGACAGAGAGAGAGAGATCACAAGTAGGCAGAGAGGCAGGCAGAGAGAGATAGGAGGAAGCAGGCTCCCTGCTGAGCAGAGAGCCCGATGTGGGGCTCGATCCCAGGATCCTGAGATCATGACCTGAGCCGAAGGCAGAGGCTCAACCCACTGAGCCACCCAGGTGCCCCCACATCTCAGAGTCTTGAAGAACGTGGCACATCCAAGGATGTGGGATCTGCATCCCAACCAGCCCCTCGGCTGATTCACGCGCCAGAGAACCACTGCCCTGGTCACCTTGTGCTCAACATGGACTGTCTAGCAGTTCCTGAAATGAGCTCTGGGCAGTTTCACACCACCCTTTACTAGCAGAGGGAGGGGCTGAGGTGGCCCAAACCAGGGAGCAGGTCTTGGGAGCTGGAGTCCCAGGGCTGTGGGAGGAGACATTACCAAAAGCCGCCTGGGCCTGGGGGTGGTTTCCACACTGCCTCCAGCACGGCCATGTCCCCATTTCACAGATGGGGCAGCTGAGGCCTAGGAAGGTCAAGGGGAGGACTTGTCCAAAGTCAGAGCCATGTCTGATATACTCTGGGCTCTCTCCACCTTTCCTTAGCACAGGTAACCATGTGCAAACACACGCATATATATAGAGAGAGAGACATTTTTTAATATGTTATATGTTTTAATATATTAATATTTTTTAATATGGCTTTGCTTGCCTGGCTTAAGGACCTATTATGGACAAGCTCCCCAGCCTACATCGAATCTGGTGCTTCTACCTTAAGCAGAACACAATCCAGCCGTCCCCTCTCCTCTTCTGCCACCATCTGGCCCGCACACCTCCCTCATCTAAATAATTCTAGTGGCAGGGGCTCCTGGGCCACTCAGTGGGTTAAACCTCTGCCTTCAGCTCAGGTCATGATCCAGGAGTCCTGGGATGGGACTCCCCTTGCTCAGTGGGAGGTCTGCTTCTCACTTTGCCCCTTCTCCTACTCTCTCTCTCAAATAAATAAAATCTTAAAAAAGAAAGAAGAGAGAGAGAGAGAGAGAGAGAGAGAGAGAGAGGAAGTGAGGGAGGGAAGAAAGAAGAAAGGAAGAAAGATAGAAAGAATTCTAGTGGCTTGCTTCTTTCCCTGGTCTCTCTGCTTCACCCTTGCTCTCTTGCAGTCTAACCAAACGGAGGCTCCCTCCGTCCTCCAGACAAAATCCTCCCACCACCCATCTCCCTCGTTGTACATGCAAAGTCCTCACGCTGACCTGCACAGCCCCTACCAATCCCGACAACTTCCCGCCTTCCACTCTCCTCTTCATCTGCTCAGTTCTGGCCACGCTGGCCTCTTGCTGCCCCTTGAACATACCAGGTACAGGTACAGACCTGTCTCAGGACCTTTGCACATGCTGTTCTCTGTACCAGCAATTACTGCCCACCTCCCCTCTCCCCATGGCTCGCTTCCATCTTCAGATTTAACTCAAATGTCATCTTCTTTCTCTATGAGGACTTTGAAAATTACAACAGTCCCTCAATCCCCTTCCAGATTTATTTTTCTTTGGCACTATTTGGTGTACTTTCTATCTCATGTATTGCCTGGCATCCCACCAGAACATAAGCTCCAGGAGGGCTGGAATTTTGTCCACATTCACTTCTGGGGTCCTAGCACCTCTTATGTACTAGATGCTCAAAACCTAAAAACTGTTTGTAAATGATATGCTTTTGAACAACTGTGTAATAGTCCATAGTCTGTATCAATCAAATATGTCATAGACTCGACAAGCAGTGACAAATGACAACACTGATTTGACCTGGGGGATAGGATTGTGGAAAATATTTTTTTTGTATTTCTGTTATTTTAAGATGGTGCTGGTGATTTAAAAGACTTCCTAAACACAGTGAGATAATGGAGAAGAGCGAGACTCTGGAACCTGCTCCTGAGCAGAAAGTGTCAGGAATGAAGAAGGTTCTTCGTCAGCCCAAGCCTGCCTGGGGAGCGTCAGAACTGCTCGCGTGTCACATCAAAGCCACCACCAGGGGGCAGAATTGCTCAAAGATTATTTTAAATATACCGCACAGAGGTGGAGAAACCAGAGAATGGACAGGACACTTACTGAGCACCTAGTGTGTACCTGCTTGAGGCTCCTAGTACTAAGTATCTTGCTTTTTTTAAAAATTATTTTATTTATTTATTTGACAGAGATCACAAGTAGGCAGAGGCAGGCAGAGAGAGAGGAAGGGAAGAAGGGTCCCTGCTGAGCAGAGAGCCTGATGTGGGGCTCGATCCCAGGACCCCGGGACCATGACCTGAGCCAAAGGCAGAGGCTTTAACCCACTGAGCCACCCAGGCACCCCCTAAGTATCTTGCTTACTGTCCACAATTCCCCTATGCTGTATGTACAAATAATGCGCGGTCATGATCTGAACTCTGCCCGGCTAAGCTCTCTGACCTCATCCCCGATGGAGACCCTCCTTGCTCACTCAGCTCCAGCTCATGGGTCTCCTTGCTGCTCCTCTAATGTCTCCAACACACTCCTGCCTCAGGGCCTTTGCACTGACCATTTCCACTCCCTCACACGTTTTCCTCCCAAATACCCACATCTTTCCTCCAGGGCTTTGTTTAAATGTCAGTTTCTCTGCAGGGTGCACTTTACCTAACATTCTCCCTGCTAGAATGAATGTAGGCTGTCTGTCTGTTCACTACTGAGGTCCAAAAGAAGCGAAGACAGGAACATAGGACAGCAGCCTGAGTGTTGAATTTTAGTCTGGGGCCCAAGGAGGAGATCTGGATTCTATCCATACTGCTAACTTACTGTGTGATCCTAGGCAGTAGGTGTCCCTCTCTGAGTCTCAGGGACCCCTTCTGTTTACCAAGGAGCTTGTTTCTGGTTATCTACACAATGGTCAGTGGACTGGGTCTCAGCTGCACTGGGGATCCTCACCTTCCTATCCCCAGTCCTTGCTCTGAGCCTGGGAGCTTCCAAAACATTTCTTTTATTCAGGGCCACAGACCTGGCAAATGGGAAGTTTCAATAAATATTTATGGAATCAGCAAATGAATGCATGAATGAGTGCATTCCGTTCCCCTTTCTGAGCCTCAGCTTCGTCATCTGTGAAATGGGGATAATAATCATCCCAACCTCATAGGGCTGTTCTAAGAATTAAATGAGGTAATGGGTAAATCATTATGTTCATGGCACATAGTAGTTGATTAATAAGTTTTGTCCAATGAGTTCCAACCTGCTTCATAGCAGACCCACTGCTGGGGACCCAGCTAAACAATACTGAAACATCCAGAAGACAGTTAACACAAATTCTTTATCCCCACTAGTGCTGATGATACAGCTAGCATAGAGATTTTTAATAGACCCATTTCACAGACAGGGAACTAAGTAAGGCATGGAGTAGAAAATAATTTGTTCATTTCCTAATGTATCTGTTGCACACTGATAAATCCCTAGTATCAGCCATGCCTGGCACATAGTAGGCCTGAAATAAATAGCTTCAAATGAGTTAACTGAGCACCTACTATGCGTCAGGCACTACAGTAAGTGCTGCTTAGGTGGTATACCCCCAAACGTGTGACTATTATATGGCAGAGGTAGGACTCGAACCCAAGCCCATCTGGGCTCCAAAGCCTGTGCTCCTTCCTCCTGGCTCCCTCCCTGAAGCCCAGGAGGACTACCTGGAGGCTTCATGGTCCTTCCGCTTCCAGGGCTGTGGGCGGGATCCGGTCCCAGAGTAGTGTCTGAGCATGAGTCACCAGCGAGGTGAGCACTCCTCCCTCTAGCCAACCTCAGCCCCAGGCACCCAGCTTGGGCACCCGGCTACGTGCTTGGGGTTAGTGCCAGGAAACCTCGTCTCACCAGATCCATAGCCCTGAGACTGCCAGGGTCACCACCTGAGGCTGGGTGACCTTCCTGTGACTGCCTGCCTGCTCTAGGTGTCAGTCAGGCCCCAGGGTTTTCACCGGGTTTCAAGGCCACCCATACACACAAAGGAGAAGGTGGCCTCCGGTGCCCGTGGTGGGCTTAATGTCCAGGCAGGAAGTCAAGGACCCCACCAGGATCCCTGGACAGCGTACCCCATTCTTCGGTCAGCAGAATTTAGCAGACACTGTCACCTGTCTCAGCACTAACCCCTATAAACCTTATTTCCCACCTGATGACAGCTGTCCAGGGTGGGACTCACCAGGTCACCTCTACCACTCTGGTGTCCTGGCCAGCCACTTGTTCATCGGCAACCACCTTGGTGACCCCTGGGCCCTTTAAGCTGTTGCTAGAACAATAGCCATTTTGACCTTCTGGGAGAGGTCACCAGGTCCATCTCCCGCCTCTGGGCCAGATGGCGCATCACCTCTCCAACAATTTCCGTGTTTCAAAAGAAGCTGGAAAATCTGGCAGCTCCCCCTATATACGAGCTGGTGACTAATGAAGCTCATTAAATACTTGGCAGGCCCAAAGACCGTGGGTCGCTAGTTCGTGAGTTTCCTCCAACGAGAAATGAGCTTTTAAATCGAAGACTCTAGGATTCCGAGTCTTTGACTCCAGGACCGCACACAGGAATAAAGACCACTTCTCAGACTGGGGACCCATGTTTGGGGTGAGGGAGCTGGAGTGTGCATGCTGTGGGGTCCCCACGCCCTCCCGCCTCCCGCCCAGCCTCTCACTTGGGGAAGCTGCTGCCGATGAGGATCCGGCCCAGGGGATATTCCTTGCCGCCCACTGTCACGGGGGGGCTGACGTCCAGGTTGCCGAAGGAGTCAAGGCTGGAGGCGCCAGCGAACAGGATCTCCCGGGTTACATATCCGAAGTCAGGACCCTAGGGGAGGACCAGCAAGTCCCCCCACCCCAGAAGGAGGGGTCAGTTAGGACAGGAAGTGACAACTCTTGGGTCGGGGGGTGGAGGTGTGCGATTAAAGTCCAAGTCTGCAACCGGACAATAACGAGAAAAATCCCCAAATGTTGGGAAATCAGGCAATACCCTTCTCAAGTATCCTTAGGTCAAAGAAGAAATCCAAGTGGAAACTAGACAATATTTTGAAGTGTAAGGTAATAAGCATGCAGCCCACCAGAACTTGGGTGCTCATGAGGCTGCAGCTAGGAGCGGCTGTAGCTCCGAACACACATATCAGGAAGAGAGAGGGTTGGAAAATCTTGCTTCCATTTCCAGCTAGGAAAAGAACAGCAAATTAGACGCAGAGCAAGTGGAAGGGAGGACAGAGTAAAGACGGGGACAGAGATGAGCGGGGAACGCCCCGGCAGGGTCAGGCCCGGGCTTGGGGGCAGGCCCTTGGTTGATGCAGAACTCACCCTGTGGGGCTCACTGTTGCCTGTGCTGGGGCTGGGTCCCGGCCCCGGGTCCCGGCCCCGGCCCCTCCAGGCTGTGGTAAACACCCTGCTCCAGGTGACCAGGAGTTCCCGGACTTCCCTCTCCCAGCCCCCACCTGGACAGAGGGACAGTCCCTGCGCAGGGGTGTGGGAGCCGGGAAACAGGCAGAGATGGTGAGCTGTAGGGCTCAGGCCCACCTCCAAAGGCAGTTCAGCCTAGTGGTAGGGCTGTAGAGACAGTCCCTCTGGTTTGGCCTCTTGGTGCCACTAGCTGCATGGCCTAGGGTAAGTTACTTAACCTCTCTGAGCCTCTGGAAAGAGGGACTGAACACAGAACTGTGGATTTGAGGAGTGACCCTGTGACCCGAGGGCCGGGTGCCTGGAATGCAGTGCAAGGTTGCTGGGGCTGTTCTCGTCCCCATCCTGGGCACGAGAGGCAGCATGGGGCCTGGCCTGCAGCAGGGGTTCAGAAAACATTTGTTACCTTAAGAGGCCCCACCTCGTAAAAGCAAGAGTCATGAGGGCTCGCCAACGGTGCGCTCCCCCACAAGGCAGTTTGGTCTCCCCAGGGCTGGCCCCACTGTTGACTCCCATCCACATGGGGGAGAAGGGCTCCCCAGGAGGACTTGACTGGCCTGCCCTTCCCAGAACGGGGTGATTTGCATGCTGTTTGCATGTCATTTGCATGTTCTGGCCCAATCTCCCCCCCCATTTCTCCACCATTTGTGTCCTTTAGCTCCCCCTAAAGGACAAGGACCAGGACCAGCAAAGTCCTATAGGAGGAGCCCCCCCAAGGGACCTCCACTCAGCCCTTTGCCACATACCAGGATCCGCTTATAGGGGAAATGCTTCAGACCTCTGTTTCGGGGAGAGTCAAAGACCACTGGGAAGGACTTGTGAGGGGCCTCAGTGTAGCCAAACTCCATCTCGTCCTAGGAAGGGAGAAGAAGAGATCCTGGTGGTGTCCCCAGGTGTGATTTTCTGAACGGGGTGATCCCCTCGGAGCTGGGCCAAGGCGGGGCCACAGATGCTTCCTAAGACCTGGGGGTACCTGGGTCAGAGGTACAGGTGAGGCCTCTGGGAGGCCACTGGGAGAGGACTCTGTCTGGGACCCGGGCATGTGGGGGAAACAGGAGAGACTGGGAAGATGGGGCAGCGGGAATGTGTCCCCCTAAGCTGTCAGCGCCTCGCGCCCCATCCCGACCGAGTCCTGGCTTTTCTCGGGACACCAAGTCTGCTTAGGAACCTGTACGGGCCCCATTTCCCAAAGTCGGGGTAAAGGACGGGGGACCCAGGCGTCCTAGGCCACCCCTCCCCCAGGCTCCTGCACCCACCTGGATCCAGCGGTCATTTCTATTTTCAATCTGAGGACAGACGATCAGCTTGCAGTTGGTTTTCAATGCTAGGTCCAACATGTCTTCCAGAAATTTCTTATTTGGGCCATGAGAGTCTACCACACTGCAAAACACAGGGAGAGAGGAACGTAATTGTGACCTCTGACTGGGGCCTTGGTCCCGTCTGCACTAGGCCCCATGTGGCCCCTGGGTAGAGGGGTTCAGACACATTCCTGCCCTAGAGAAGACAGAGATGGATAATGTCCCCAGATCATAACTGCATGGTCAGGAGCAAGCCCAGGTGTGTGGAGCCCAAAGGCAGGGCACCTAGGCTAGCAGGCATGGCCATGGAGAAGGAGGCCTGGAGACTGGGGGAAGGTGTCAGTGAGGGGCAGGCAGCCCCATCCGCTCCCGCTCCTCCAGCCCACACAAAAGTGTCAGGGTGGGGTTAGTGAGCAAACGGAAAGAAAGAATTCCCTTCCGAACAAGTGCAGAGCAAACCTATTGCTCCACACCTTCCCGGCCTTTTGACTTAGGTTCCAAGCCCGCGGCAGGTCTGTCCGCTGCTCTGATCTCTGATACACGGGCCTGGAGTGGCCTTGCCAATCAAGGCTCCCCTGTCCATCACGGCGCCTGCCAAGGATTCTGGGAGACGGCAGAAGGACTAGGGTCCTGGGCTGGGCTGGGGCTCACAGCTGGTGCCAGAGGCTGGGCTCCCGTGTTCTGGGCAGGCCCAGCAGCATGTCCACGCCAGAGCGAGGCTAGGTGTCCTGCGACCACCAGCTGCCTCAATAGAGCCTAGCCTTGCTGCCCGGACTGGATCCAAGCTGTCCCACCGGCAGGACACAGGAGAGGCAGGGACACCGACGCTGGAGCCAGTGACCTCAGCCGGGGCCTTCGCTGCTCAGAACAAGATGGGGCTGACCGACCCAAGCCAGCCTCGTGCTCTCCCCTGCCCAGCCAGCACCCACGGGTGACCTCAAGGCATCTGTCCACTGAGTGAGGGCCCAACGCTGGACCCAGCATTCCGTTCCTATCTCTACCAGTCCAGAAATGGTGGGGTTCCTGCAGGAGGAGTGAGGCCTCACCTGCACGCATACAGCTCCAGGGGGGGCTGGGTGTTGGGGGTCATGATCCAGGGGGCCATGCGGAAGGCCACGGTGTCTGTGAAGAGGGGCACCTCAGGCAGGGTCTGGGAGGGAAATGAGGACTAAATGGGCCCTGCAGGAAGCCCCATCAGGCCCCAAGGGCCCCACAGGCCCCCAGCCTGCCCAGCCCCAGAGATTCCCAACAGGTTCCCCCACACCCTCAGCCGCCACACCAGCCCCCAACACTGTACATACCCCCGTGTCCACCAGGCTGACACTAAGGGAGACCAGCCCCAAGAAATCAGTGTCAGGGAAGGTGAGTCCCTCCACAAAGAAGCTGATTTTCTGCTCCCCCTGCTGCCGCTCAACTTCGTAGGACAGGCGCTGAGGTCCCAGCACCTGCTTGTAGTGCTCGAGGGAATGCCCGCCTAGGGGAAACCAGAGGCAGGGGCCAGTGCTAGGACGAAGGACAGGAAGGAAGAAACCAGAGGCCAGGGATCCAGGGCAGAGCCACCTTCGTGTGAGATCTACTGGGACTCCCCTCGAGCCCTGCCACGTGTAAGCTGTGTGACCCTGGCTCAGTGACTCAGCCTCTCTGAGCCTCAATTCCTCATCTGTAAAAGTGGGCCAACGGTATCTCATGAGGTCAGTGTAAAGCTTTAAATCAGATCAAGAGATAAAAGCCGCTGGCATAGAAGGTGAAAAATACTCAAACGTCCATCAGTGGATGAATGGATAAACAAACGGTAGTGCGTCCATATAATGGAACCTTTTTCACCCATCAGAAGGAATGAGGGGCTGATGCGTGCTACAGTGTGCACGAACCCTGCAAATAGTATGCAAAGCTGAAAGAAGCCAGACACAGAAGACCACATATTGCATGATTCTATTTGCAGGGAAGTATCCGAACCAGGTAAATCCACAGGGACAGAAAGCCAGAAAGCAGATTATGGGTTGCCTAGGACTGGCAGTGGGGGAAGAGGGGAATGGGGAGTGGCCACTGATGGGTACGGGTCTTTATGTGGGGGTGAGGAAACGATCTTACAACTAGATAGAGGTGGTGGTCCTACAGCAGCAAGGACCTACTAAGTGCCAGGGAGCTGTCCACTTTCAAATGGTTAATTTCCTATTATGTGAATTTCACCTCAATTTCTTTTTTTTTAATTTTTTTTAAAGATTTTATTTATTTATTTGACAGATAGAGATCACAAGTAGGCAGAGAGGCAGGCAGAGAGAGAGAGAGGAGGAGGCAGGTTCCCTGCTGAGCAGAGAGCCCGATATGGGGCTCGATCCCAGGACACTGGGACCATGACCTGAGCCGAAGGCAGAGGCTTTAATCCACTGAGCCATCCAGGCGCCCCTCAATTTCTTTTTTTGAAAGCGCCTGGCCTGTAGTGGTTCAGCGCTACCCGCTTCCGTCCTCGCCTGAGGCTTGTCTGGGAAAGGTCACCCCGGCATGCTCTTATTCACAGCGGGGAAAGGTTATCTGTTCACTTATTGAGATTTTGTTTATGTTCCGGTGTCCCAGGAAGCGTTTCCAAAGCAGGGCCCTCAGCCTAAACTTCAACCATGGGTGCACGAGGAGGAAGGTTCTGGCTCCTGCCAGGCTCAGGTGGCCAGGACAAGTTTTGGGTCAGTCTGAACAGAAGGAGGTAAGGGGGGAAGAAACAAAGGAGCAGGAGAAGCCTCTTGCTACTTATAAAAATGAGTGAAGGCAGCTCAGGGTTAAGGATGGGTATATTTTTTTTAAGCCACAGATTTTGATTAATAAAAATCTCTGGCATTGAGACGCCTGGGTGGCTCAGTGGGTTAAAGCCTCTGCCTTTGGCTCAGGTCATGATCTCAGGGCCCTGGGATCGAGCCCCACATCAGGCTCTCTGCTCAGCAAGGAGCCTGCTTCCCTTCCTCTCTCTCTGCCTGCCTCTCTGCCTACTTGTGATCTCTGTCAAATATATAAATAAAATCTTTAAAAAAAAAAAAAATCTCTTCCAAGGTTCCAAGGGCCGGCCTGGGCCTCAGCTTTGCTAGTTCCCGCTCCCACCTCACCCAGCCTGCACAGAGCTGGGCGTGTTTCAAGAGCTTGCCCCGTGCTGCCTGACCAGGGAGTGGGGTGGACAGTGGAAAGAGAAGGGGTTTGGGCAGTTGAGAGACCTGGGTCCAAATGCCTGCTCCCTGCCCCCACTTGGTTATATGACTTAGAGACCCTGGATTCCTGCCCCTGAGCCTCAGTGGCCTCCTCTATAAAATGGAACTCATTTTTGAACCCCCTTCTTAGGTAATATGCTGTGAGCTGCTGGGGTGGCTGTTGGTCAGAGGTAGAGGGAGGTATAGAAGATGCTGCAGGGGAGGGGGGATGTGTATAAGAGAAGAGTTTGGGAAGCAGAGTATAAGCAGAGCAGGGAGGAAAACAGCCCCAGCAAGCCACTCACCCCTAGAACAGAAGACCCCCACTCGTTTGGAATCCGAGAAGGGCACATTCAGGACCAGCTTGTGGTTGTCGAAGAGCCTGTCTGGGCCATCACAGCTCAGCACCATGGGGGACATGTCCTGTAGGTCTGGAGAGAATGGCACCCTTGAGACAACTCTCCCTGCACCCTCCTCCCACCTCCCCCAGCCTGTACTGCCCCACGCCACTGCCCTGGACGTCCCCACACACCCTTCTATCACACACCGTCCAGTGATGCCAGCTGGCTGTTGGTAAGGTCAGGCCCTCTGGACGTGATACTGTCCCGGTCACAGTTCACCAACAGGACAGCCCCATAGCCCTCGGGGCCCCAGCGCCAGGTTTTCTGTGGCAAAACAAGAAGCTTTGGGGTCAGTGGGACCCAGAGAGCCTGGGGAAGGGGCTCTGGAGTTGGCTAGGGCTATTTTGTTAACATGGAGACTTTGGTTTTCTGGGTTTACTTCAGGATTTAAAGAAGAATCATAGATTTGGGGACTGGAGTTCCAAGTCTTTAGACCCAGAGCCACCCCACACTTGTGCAGTGAACAACCTATGCAACCATACATGGTGGCCCCACCCAGCCATGGCACTGGAGGAGGAAGGGTAGTGTCACTCCCTCAGGAGGAAGGCTGTTTCAGAAACGACCTTCACCAGCCCACTGAGCTTTGGCCCTACCTAGGGGACAGAGGCTGCCTCCCTCCCAACTCTCTGGGTCCTGGCATCTACCCTCAGTCCTACAGGTCCTGCAAGGAGGTCTAAGCCAAGGAGGGAAAGATGGCTGGAGCCCTGCCTCAGATCGCAGCTCTCCCTTATACACCTTCACTTAATCCCTACCAGACCCTACAAGGCAGGGCTCACTTGCCTCATTTCACAGAAGAGGAAAGGAAGGCTCTGGCAAATGGAAAGAAAGGCTCTGGAAAGGAAGGCCTCAGTCCCCTAGCTGGGATTCAACTAGTTGGGAGACCTGGAGGACTCCGCAGGGCCACTGCTAGCCTATATGACACACCTGTCCACCTTTCTTGGTAAATGCTGCCCTATGCCAGGGCGCAAGACATGACTTGTACCATAGCCCCACTCACCACCTTAGCCAAGCAACCTTGAGCAGTGAACAACCTGTACAACCACCCATGGCTGCCCTAACCCCTCTTGTCCTCAAAGCCTGTCCTTGGGGCCCATGCTTTCTCTCCAGGATCTCTCCCTACAAATTACACCTTCTACCCCTCCAGGATGGTTTCCAGATACTTCTATCTGGAATCCCCATAATGTCTCGGGACCACCCCACCCTCCTCCTCACTTTTTAGGATCCAACTGAGGCTGTCCACCCAGCCTCCTCTATCAGAAGCCTTGCCTTCTCCCAGCCTTCAGTCAGTCCCTTGGCAACCTTTTATGAAGCACTTATCATGTTTCAGGTTCAAATACCGCTAAGGAAAGAGAAGATGTATCAAGCAAAAGAACCAATTCCAATCCCTAAGTGCTGCAAGATAGGCTCAGAGAGGCTCACACAGGAGTCACGCAGCACAGTGATCACACGGTGCAAGTTACGCCCACCTGGGCCAGCTTGGCAGCCTCCACATGGGTTCCCTACATGGTCGGATCCCACAGACTCTGGGATCCATCACCCCTGGTTTTGCCTGTCAACTCTGCCAGCCCAAGGTAGCCAGGAGAGCATCACCTTGTCGCCGTGGCTCCTCTTCACCTTGCCCGTGCGATGCGTGTCGACATCGAGGGAGATGTCTGTAAAGGAGTGGAGAGGGGCACCAGAGGCTCACGCATCCCACCTCCATGCCCATGAGGTCCAGGCTAAGGCAACCTTTGCCCACGAGACCCAGGAAGACCTGTTCTGGGGACCACACCAAGCACCCGGGAGACTGTGTGGCCACCCCCTGTGGTTCTGGATGTTGGAGGGACCCGGTCTCCGGGACTCTTGAATTCATTGCCGGTCTATGCTTGCTGAATTGCTAGCTCTTGGTGGCCCTGCCTCTGGCCATTGGGAACGAGGCCTGAAGTTGTCGGTGCTGGATCCACAGTTCTCAGGACCAGCGGCCAGGGCTCAGGCAGAAGGCGGCTCACGGCTCCCTGAGGTTTAGCGAGGAATCTTGGAGTTCCAGAGGTGTGACAGGTGGCCTCCAGAGGAAGGAGGCCTAGGGTGGGTCTAGCTGTGGGCCATGGACAGTTTCTAGATTCTGGTGGCCCTGAGTACTGCTGAGTCTCCATCCCCGAGTGAACTAAAGGTCTCTGAAGAAGCTCCTGGAGGTGGAGGAAGAGGGCCTGGGCCTGGGACTCAAGGGGGCAACTAACACCCTCCAGAGGGCAACATGGAGGGGTGGGGGGACATCCTGGGAGCCAGGAGCTGGTACTTACCGACACCGGTGAGATAGAGCACGCTGTGGCCTAGGGCCCCATCCTGATGCTGCCCAAAGTAGGACACCTTCACCTGTGGGGACATTGTCAGCCCTAAGTGAGCACAGTCACCCTTCAGAGATGGCAGGGGCAGGGGACATGGTGGGGGAGACCCTAACAGTCCTGCTTCGAGGCAGGGGAGGCCTGGGCATCCCTAGAGTCTCCCCAATGCCTAAGGTCCAAGATGCCCAGGCTCCTGGCTTGGGCTCAGATCTGCCTTCCCCAGCTCGAGAGGCTGTGGATGCCTCCGGGGCTCCAGGTCTGGGCTGAGGAGCAAGGAGGGCTGAGGAGGGTGGGGCGGGTGCCGGGGGAGCCGCTGGACCCTCAGGAATCCATGGAGATATCAGAGAGGAAGAATGAGGGGAGGGACGGTGGACGCCATCGACATGAGCCAGCTGCTCAGCCCATGTGTCTTCTGTTCCTTCATCTGTAAAATGGGAGCAATGGCCACACGCTCCCGCACCCCCACTCCCCAAAAGAGCCAGCGGTCACAGAGCTTTTCCCATGGTCCAGATCCCATGCCAAGTGCTCTACCCAGGTCATCTCAGTGAGCTCCCAAGATGGCCCCAGGAGTCTGGGCCCATTCCTAATGAGGCCACTCCCAGCCCTCCCTGCAGGCTTGTAAGCAGAGGGGGTAGGATTTGAACCCATGGCAGGCTCCAGGGCTCCTGCTCTCAACAGCTCACAGTCTCTGCCTTTAGGGGAGAAAGGGCCATGGCAGCGAACCAGTGGGCCACTGTGTGTGTGGGGGGTTCCTGGGGGTAAGTGATGAGGAGGCTACCCGTGAAAGCAAAGCCTTTCCCTTCCTTGGATATGGGGACGGGGCACATCTGGGTGGGCACCTGTGTCTCCGTGCATGCACATATGCATGTGCCCGGGCTGTTACTCGAGTCCTCCCTGCTACGGGACATATTTTGGGGTCTGTGCATAGGGTGAACACAGGTATTCATGTGAGGGTGCCTGTGAATTGGAGGGGTGAGTAGGCAGGCTGTTTTTATGGGCGTATCCATTCATGTGTGCATGTGTGACATTGCTGCCATGGGGAGGGGGGGAAGTGCATGTGCGGGGTGTCTGTGGCATCGAGATGTGCTGCGTGGAGGCAGATGTCTGAGCCTCGTGGGGTTTGGTGGAGTAAGGGTGTTGTGTGAATGGAGTTATGCTTGGGTGCAGGGGTGGGGAACACGGCCCCTGTGGAGACGTGGCCTCTTACCTTGAGATCATTTAAGTCCTTACTGGCTGCATCCACGGATACGGTCACCTCCACACTGACATCCAGGGGCCAGCGGGACTTGCCTGTAGGCCCCGTCACCCGAGCTGGGTCGTAGACCACGAAGACCTCCACTCCAGGGCTTCCAGAGACGCCGAAGGTCTCGGCCCCCTTGGGCACAGCACTGACAGAAAGGAGAGAGGTGAGTTTCCAGGGGGCTCAGGAGAGAGACCACAGTGTGGTAGCGGGCTTGGGTCACCAAGCTATACAAACAGCACCCCTAAGAGCTGGACTGGGGGGTGGCAAGGGACTGCCACTGGCCAGGAGACCAGGCCGACTGGGCACCAGGCAGCCTGGGCTCCATCCCAGCTCTCTGCTGATTCCCATGTGACCCACCCTGGGCACCTCATCTTGTCCTCTGGCCTCAGTCTCCCCATCTGTAACATGGGGCTTTGCTTTAGTGGCAGGGCCCTTTTGGCAGACCTCCTGTGGAACCCAGGACCTAAGACAGACACAAGCAAGCAGGACATGGGCCCAAACCATGGCGCTTAACACCCCCGCCCAAGAGCGATCCCTGAGGCTCCAGAGAGCAGAGACAGCAAACCCCGGCACAACCTCCCACCCCCACCACAAAGCTTCCCATGCTGATACTTCCAAATTCTCCAACCCAAGAGGGAACACACTGGGTCATCTGCCTCTCACCACCCCACCCCCACCACTACCTGATGGCTGGGCAGCCTCCTCACTGGTCTCCCTGACCCACCTGTGCCCCCCTCCAGTCTCTTCCGCACACGGCACACTTAGGCAGATTCTGTCATTCCTTTGCCCCAAAGCAGTGGTTCCTGTCACACTCAGTAACAGGTAAAGTCCTCACAGTGGCTTACAAGGCCCCCAGTAATCTGCCCCCTGCCACCTCCCTGACCTCTCCTCCCCACGATGCTCCCCTCGCCCACTCTACTCCTGCCACACTGAGCTTCCTGCTGTTCTATGAAGCTGCCAATCTGTCCTAGCTCACGGCCTTTGCACTGGCTATTCCCTCGGCATAGAATGCTCTTCCCCCAGGTGTCCACAAGGCTCATTCCTTTACCCTCTTCAAGGCTCTGCTTAAATGTCACCTTCTTTCTCTCTCTTTCTCTCTCTTTTTAAGTATGGGTTTTTCTCCCCTCCAATATATTTTTTTTTAAAGATTTTGTTTATTTGACAGAGAGAGACAGGGAGAGAGGGAACACAAGCAGGGGGAATGGGAGAGGGAGAAGCTGGCTCCCGCCAAGCATGGACCCCGATGCGGGGCTTGATTCCAGGACCCTGGGATCATGACCTGAACCAAAGGCAGACACTTAATGCCTGAGTCATCCAGCTGCCCTTCTCAGTGAGCCCCCCATCACTCCATTGAATGCTGCAACTTGCTCTCTTCCTCTCCTCCTCTTCCCTATCCCTCTCACTCTGCTCTGACCCTAGGCTCCGCAGGTGGAGCTCATAGCCTAGAGGGGTATGTCGGACCACAGAACTACCTGTCAGTGCTTCTCCGTCCCCTCCATGTCAGGGCTCTCGCCTGCCCTTCCCAGGGACAGAGCCATCAGCCACTTAAGGTCACGTCCACTTACTAGACATCCACCTGACTGCAAAGATCCAGAGCCAGAGGGGTCCTTTAATGTATCCTCCTGCCTCTATCCTTTCCCAGATCCCTGAGAACCCACCCAGATATTAAACCCTCCAGAGAAACCAGACCCCCCGACACGGTTACCGGCGCCATCAAACTGCCTCCCGTGACAAGGGTGACAGCGATCACGGTTACAACAACCCCAAGCCCTACTCAGCGCTTGGCCCTCTGATGCTCAGCAAGTAGTTTTCACTCTCCTCACCTTACAGATGTGGCTGGGGTGGAGAAGGGCCCTGGGGCCCTGCAGGCTGCTGGCAAGACCCACCCGCGCCAGCCCACACTCGTGGCCCCATGGTACCTTCAGGAAGCCCCATCCTACATGCCCTTTGTCCTTGTCTAATCAGTTACCATAGAAACCCAAGTACCCCAGACACTCGTCCTCTAATCGGACCCCATCTCCCATCCGCCCCACTCCAGGACAATCCCACACACCATCACCTGCGCAGTGGCCTCAGTCACATCCCAGAGTGTGTCCTTGACCTTCATACTGCCATAGAGACCTGTTTCCCACAGCAGGCAGGGGACCCCCTGCAGCCCTCTCAATGGTGTCCACTCCCCCCTCACTTCCCCTACCCCCAGGCCCAGAGGTGGGCAGGAGTCCCCCTCCTCCCGGTCACTGCCACATCACTGTCACTCTGCCCTCATTCCTGAAGGGGGCCAGCTCCTGCCACCATCTCCAGCGCTGCAGCCCCATGAGTGATGGGGCAGCCCCTCAGGCCTCAGCATCGGGTTTCCTCTCCCAAAGATCCTGGCCTCCACCCAGCCTCAGCCACCCGCCCCCAGGGAAGACCCCAGACTTTGTCATTACCAAGAACTACACTCCCCACACACCCCCTCTCAGCTAGTCCAGTGAAACCACCTGCCGACCTGCCGGCTCAGTCCTCTAACATGCCAACCCCATTGAGCCCCCAGCTCCACCAGGACCAGCAACCCCTGAAGTAGAGACATCTTTATCCCCTCTCTGCAGCCCCGGCCTTCCTGATCTCTCTTCCCTTCACAGGGTCAGAGTCCCTAGCCCACCTCAAGGTCACTCCCTAGCACCTCTCCACTCCTCTGCACACCTTCCCCTCCATCAGACCCTCTAAGCACCGCCTCAGCCTCCAGGAAGCCCCTCCCTCCCCACTCTGCAGGTGCACCTCCCCACAACCCCCCACCAGCCGACCATGTTCCACCTAGATTCATTGCCACTGCCCACAGCCTGACAACATTTCTAGGGGCTGGAGAGCCCAGGAGGGAGGGGATAGTGTATCTGGCCCTTTGTGGCTCCATCTCCTGGGCACTGGGCACAGGTCTTTCTTTGGTCTAAAGAAGGGCTCCAACTCGGAGTCCTGGGTCCAGGCTTTGGGGTCTGGGCTGTGTGTTCTGATGGCCAAGAGGAATTGGTGTGCAGCATCGGAATGAAACAGGGACAGGACTGGGCAGCCCTGAATTTCTGCCTCTGTTTCTTGCCTATGGCCCATCTGCCTGAAGTAGAGAGGTGGTGGGAAGTGACAGCTCGGACACCCACACCTTTGTCTCTTCCGCTCCTTTCCTTTACAGGAAAATACCTCAGGAGTTGGCGTGCTGGCTGCCCAGTCCTGTCTCCCCGTTGTCCCTGTAACCTGTCACCAGTCAGGCTCTCCTCCCCGCCATGCCATTGAAACTGCTCTGGTGCCAAATCCAGAGAGAGGTCCCTTCTCTTCTTCCTCTAGAGAGCCGCCAGGGGCATCTGACCCAGATGATCGGCTGTCCTCCCTAAAACACTTTCCTTGACTTCTTTCCTTGACTTCTGGGGCACACGGCTCTCCTCTCCTCCACCTGACTTCTCCTTCGCTGCTCTGTCCTCCTAACTGCAGCGTACCCCAGGCAGCAGCGGGCTGCCCCCCCAAACCACCAGCAGCTCTGGGCAGAGCACATAGTTAAGTTGATGATGAATTTTACTGATACAAAGGCCTTGCAGCACACAGCATCCTAACGATAGTACACTGTATGTTACTCTTCTTTATAAAATTACTCGGAAATCCCATAAATCCCTTCGATTCTTACAGAACGCCTCTCAAAACCACAGCCAAACCATGCTGGCCATTCAACCACAGCTCCGCAAATGCAGTTGCCTCCCAACCTGCTCTTTCTTTCCCCAATAAATTCGTTGTCATGAAATTTGATATGTGACATAAACGCGGATGGATATTTTCATTTGCGTTCAAGAATAAAATGAAAGCGAAGCCGTGGAGATAAACCTCACTCCATCGGTGATATGAATAATCTCTTTGCTGAGCCAGTGAATACCAGACAAACACCTCCCTCCTTCTTGTGCTAATCACAACATAACACGCTTTTAAATTTAACCTGCGTTAATCTCCTTTTCTTCATCAGTAAAACTGTAAGTGGAGGTCTGATTTGTAGACTTTGCCAATTTCCATGGCCTACCGACTTCCACCAATGGCCAATATAAAGTTACCAATGCAACATCCTTGAATTCAAGAGTTGCAAAGAAACACACAATGGCACCCCCTACATCACTATTTCTACCAGACAGAGGTAAATGATCACAGAGCATAGATCTTGGTAGAGTATAACAAAATAGTAAGGAAGTGGAGATAATTTTGATTGTCACCTTTGTTTTAAATATGATTTATTTACTTGTAAGCATATAAAATTTAATTTTAAGTACTGTCATGGAGGGATACCTGGGTGACACAGTCAGCTGAGGGACCAACTCTTGGTTTTGGTTCAGGTCATGATCTCAAGGTCGTGAGATTGAGCCCGCCATAGGGCTCCACACTCAGTGTGGAGTCTGCATGAGACTCTCTCCCCCTTTCCCCCGTCCCCTTACATGTGTGTGCGCACATGCACGTGCTCTCTCTCTCTCTTCTCTCTTTCTCTCAAAAATAAATGAATGAATATTTTTTAAAGATTTTATTTATTTATTTGACAGACAGAGATCACAAGTAGGCAGAGAGGCAGGCAGAGAAAGAGAGAGGAGGAAGCAGGCTCCCTGCTAAGCAGAGAGCCCGATGCAGGGCTCGATCCCAGGACCCTGGGATTATGACCTGAGCCGAAGGCAGAGGCTTTAACCCACTGAGCCACCCAGGGGCCCCAATGAATGAATACTTTTAAAATTAAAAAAATAAATAAATACTATTATGGCTGTGTTTGCCAACAGGCTCATAAACTTCCTAAAAAATGGACAATCAGGTCCTCTTGGGGAAGGACCCTCCTGTACTGCTAAAAATGGGTACTATTCCCCTCTCTCCCAGGCTTCTCCAGAGGAATTCACCACCAAGTGACTGTACACTGGGGAAAAGGAAATGATCAGACTCTTCCAGCTTTATTGGACACTGAACTGAGGCTAATTCCAGGAGATGCACATGTCACGGCCACCTGCCAGTCAGAGTAGAGGTTTTCAGTGGTCAGGTGGCCAATGGGTTTAGCTCAGGTCCAGCTCCCATTCTGTGATTTTTCACCCTGCATTCCAGAATGCATAGTTGGAACAGAACTCAGCAACCGGCAGGGTCACCTCATAGGCCCTCCTGTGAGGATGT